ATGCTGTCACTAGGTACCCCTGTACAATAACACCAGAAGCATCTGGCAAGTGTCACAAGTATATATAATTATTATAAGGGTGTTTACTAAAGCCTAAGAAAGGAAGGATATTCCTTCAACACACCATTAACATTATTTACATAATATCTGGCCAGTATGGGGAGGATCATCGTGTCTCCGTCAGGGGGTCGTGGAGTGGTGGTCCAGCAGCCGTCACGGAAGCGTTGTGTGTGCGACTCTTATAGAAAAATTGAGCCAGTAGAATTGCTTTGGATATTTTAATCCTTACGATGAGCAGATTGTAGCTCTAATAGTCAGGCGAGAATTTAGATGATAAATTGGACATAACTATTTAGTTGTTGACCTAGATCGCCAGTGAACAAAGTAAACTACCGCAAGTGACATAGTAGTGACTAGTAACGATGTCAGTAAACGAAGAAATAAACGTAAACCAAATAAGTTCTGATGAGATTTTTGTTAAATTATCAAAGGAATATAAAGAACTTATATGCCTTTGGCAAACTTGATTAACATGTCATTAAAATCAATTCGGGAGTTGTTCCATAATCCTTGAAGATAGCAAACGTGATACTGCTGAAAAATCTATCCTAACTACCGTCCTGGGACATCAGTTTAACACCAACTGTAGGGAAATTACTGGATGCAAATGTTACAAATTCAATTGGATATTACCTTAAGAAACACAATTTCATTAATGACTCAGCATGGCTCTACCAGAGGGTAAACGTGGCTCACAAATTTATTAGCAATCTTTTCAACTGTTGTTGAATCATTTGACGATGGACACGATTATGATATGGTTTACCTCGACGTTAGCCAATCCTTTGGCAGGGTTCCCATGCAAGACTAATAAAGGTTGCCCCTTGTGATCAAGGATGACCGGCCCTAGGGGCACCTAAGCGTGAGTTTGTTTAAGGTGTAGAAGCTGTCGCCAACACAACAACCACACCCTGAGTTAACGAGCTGCATGACCCAGTGTCAAAGTATAGTCCGAGAAGACCGGACAACTCGCCAACTGCACTGGCTAACCATTACCCAGGAACACGATCCGCAAGTCGATTAACATCCAGGTCCCCAATTACTGCTGGACAGACAGAGGCAAATGGCGTAAAGAAAATCGCCCATAGTTTCACCCTGCCCGAGGATCAAAACTGGGTGAACTCGCTTGCGAGGCGAGCATACTGACCATTACACCACAGACTAATAGTAAAGTAGAGGCACATGGTATTGGATTATGGCGTGATTGAAACAGAGGGCCAATATTAATAATAAAATCTGATGGGTAACGTCACTAGTGGCGTACCCAGGACTGTACTAGTACCGTTACTATTAGTTATACATTATACATTAAAAACACAGATATACAGTAGGCGTTGACAGCAGTAAATTTGCTTATGACCACAAATAGGGAGTGCAATATAATCAAATCTGACAAGGACTCCGAAAAATTATAGGAAGACCTAAAATACTAATATGCCGATGCATAATTTGGTATTATAATGCTTGTAGACCATACATACCCTTTGTTCAAAATACTTGGGAACCTCTGGACATATAGACAGCTTCAATCCTAAATCTGGCAGTAAAGTTTACACTGCTTCCCATTATGAAATCCTGTGCACATCACTTCTATATACATGAATTCTTCTCCAAGACATAAACCCCTGAAAATCACTTTACACAGAATCATATAAGTAGCTAATAAATTCACAGAAATGTCATTCCAAATAATTAATATGAACAATAAAGTAATACAGGTACTTTGCTTTTCATTGTTCACTACTTATTGTAATTTACATATTTCCAGTTTATTTATGTTAAATATTTTATTTCAGTTCTTCACATTATAATTTTTCTTCAACTTATTTTAATGTTTATGACGCTGAATGAATAAACTCTTCTAAGCTATGTTACAATTACAATGACTCCGGCATCATTCAAACGCCTCAAGTAAACATAGGCCTACATGTATACCAGCCTGTATGTTCAACCTAATTTCCACAGAACTTTCCCTCAGTAATTCACAATTAATAAAGTAGCTGTTTTGCAATTAACAATTAAAAAGTTAATGTTATGTATTGACTGAGAAAATTACATGTGTATTACAATAACATACAACGTTTTAACAATTTACATAGTTTCAACATTTTAAGACTCAACACTTATTTCAAAATGTTCTCAAACCATCAGACTGTCTGACATTTTACTTGATATAATCTAACAATTTATGATTAATTCACAATAATTTATCTAAACAATGGTTTACCGGCCGATTATCCATTCTCTTTCCTTTCAAAGGGAGAACTAGACTAATTCTGCTACACAGTAAACACTATATACGTACATAAAACCATTCAACTTTATTACATTAGATTGAAATGACTTTGAAATTTGGGACTTATTTAAAATTTGGGGAATTATTTAAAAACGGAATTTACTTGAAATTTAAATAAGTTTCATTATGAATGGTATTTTTACTGAGCCTTCCATTACATAAACAACACTAATATCACGATACCTCGTCCAAGAAAATGGTGCAATTGGTGCATAATATGGTGTGAATTGTGCACTTTTGGCAACAAGCTCAAATTTTTCAGAAGTGATGGGTCTCGACCTATAGGAAGAAATGGGATATAGTTCCAAACGCGATGCCCAAGTTCGCTGATGCCCAGATACTGAAACATGGGAACAGCTATGACGATTTCGTTTGTGTCCACAGTACATAATCATGGTTTTCGTGTATCCGTGTTTGCACATCCCGCTACATAAAGGAGATGTTTACTATCTGCTTCTCCATGTGAACAGAAGCAAATTGTTGGTATCCATATCTAGGTTGTAGAAAACATTCTTTCCCTGCGTTGAGACTACAGGGTATTTGCTTATCTCCACAATGTAATGTCTCAGACGAGACCTGCTATAAAGTGATAAAGCTCTGCTTTGTATTTATCCTCCCTAAGAAATTCATTCCAGTTTCCAGGAATCCCGTTGTCTGGATGAACTCTCCTTCGGACACCTTTCCCTTGTTTTCTCCTGGTACATTCTTTCAAGCCACCAGGGCTACAGTCATCCCAGATGATGTCAAGCCTCTTGCTCTCATTCTGCAGTTGCCACATCAAGTATTTCATAGATACATTTTCTCCATATTCAAGAAAAGCTTTGCAAGCAATTGGTTTAAAAAAGTTCACAGCAATAGTTCCATCGGTAACAGAACTTCGACATCATGAGGTACCTGAAGGTTTGTCACCAAGCTTTCCACGATTTGCGCAAGATCATATTTTTTCCCGATATTAACTCTCCAAATTGAGACAATGATGGTGGCGGTGACGACTGGTTTTCAAGACTACTACCCCGAACCTGGCAAGACACACACAGCTGTGAGAAGAGGGCACAGGTTTTCTTTAGCGAGTCAATCTCTTGCTTATCCTTTGACACAATTCTAGCTGGTGGGCAGTTGAAGAGCGGTAATCGGTTCTTGCAAATTGGATCAAAGAGTGATTTAGTTCTCTTTATGATTCGATCTTCCACAAGACATGCGATTTTTTTTTCCAGCCTGCCCTATTTTCCGTATGGCACAGTATATATCACTATATGGTCAACAGTGTCTCGTGTGTCGTACCACCAACAATTCCTGTTTCTCAAATGTGCTGTGAATACTTTCAACCTGTTCGTGGTGTTGAGTACTCAGTGTGTTTGAGTGATGAGTTTCCTGTGCACCCTGAAACTCATCAACCATCCTTGTTATTTCTGGTCCAGAAACCATTCATCGAAGTAATTCAGAACACTTTTTAGGCAGTCCTATGGCCATAATTCTCTTTATTTACACTCACCAAACCCCAAGTTCGTGACAAACTTAATACTTTATTGTTATATTTAATAAGGACAAAGAAGAAATGAACAGATACTGCACTATTCCTACGTTCTTATGGTTGTTACCAGCTTTATTTACCTATATTCACTGTACGTGATCGTATTTCATACCTAGAATTGGCTTATAATCCAAGAAAATAGGAAAATGAGGTGCACCTTAGCTTGGGATTAAAGTTTTTCATGCTGGTAAATCGAGTGATACGAGCAAACGTCTCGTGCCACTGACAAGGTTTTGCGGGTCGCAGAGTACCAACCTCCCAGTCTTCCGCTAGTTGGTACACCTGACTACACCACGATGACGTAGTAACAACAGACGGCGGTCGGGAACCACCATGGCCATTCTTGAATAATCGCTAAACTTTTCTTCCACTGTATTACGACCGCCAGGATACCACAGCATCGTATACACGATGGCAGTTCTTGCCTTCGTCCCTATGGCTCCACCGACCTCCTTGACACACCTGTTGTTTTGGTCATGATCATTTGGAATTCCAGAAAATGGTTTGTACGTTTAATGTACTACGAAGTTCCCACTGTTGAACTCCTTTAACTGGTCGCCAACGAGAATAGTGTGGACCTTCTAATTTTTGTTTTAAAGCATCCTTGTACAGCTGGAGCTTTCCTTCACGTAAAAGACTGCACAAACGTGAAAACGTCTTTAAAATGCCAGCCATCTTGTTTTCTCATTATTTTTTTTACAAAATTAATTCATATAATGAAGCTTTATGATGTAAGAGAATTTCAATCTTTTCAACACATAACCTACAGTATATACAAAATATTTCAGGGAACTTATAAAATGGCGGCCATTTTGGATTGTTTCAAAAGGCCCTAAATCTAAATTTATTCAGCTAGTAAAAGGCTATTTTTTCTGAAAATTTCATGCTTGTTTCGTAAAGTGCACAATTTATTCACCATTTTCCTGGATTACTGGGGCGCCACAGGGTGTAGGAGACTATATGAACAATGTCAGAGCACTTGGTCGCTAAGAATTACTTTACGATATATGATTTTTTTTATACAGAACGTCAGTATTCCGCCAGTATTCCAGATAGGAGGTAGCTGCTCGAATGGTTTAATTTATTAATCTGTTGGACTTTTCTTCCTTACAGTTTCTAATGACCAACCATGGGGACGCCTCAGCAGCCCCCAGGATCATCTTCACAACAAACAACAACAGCGTTTGACGAGGAGGAGACATGTTCACTCCGCCTTATCAAGATGACAGACAGATCTGGCCAACCCGCTATGCTGACGGTGTACAAACTATCAGCTCAAAAGGCGGGGAAGCCCAATTATATGAAGCTTTCCGAGTTCCTGAAGAACAAAAAACAGTTCACCGACGAACTATTGGAGTATAAGTTCGACACTATCCAACGTGAGAAGATTGAGGGTGACCCTGATGGCAAATCTTACGACATTTCGCTACTTTTCCAGGCCATCGCTTTGGTGCGTGGCAGTGTTTCTCTTGGAGCAAAACTAAAATTCATGGACCTGCACGATGACCTTCATGAAAAACTCCAAGCGGTAAAAAATTTCAGGAATAACTTGATGCACTCACGACTAGGTGTGAGTAACAATCATTTTGTGGAAAAGACAGAGGAACTGAGAACATTGCTGACAGAGCTTCTTGAGGCAGCAAAAGCTGTTTATGATATTGACGACCGCGATTTTGACCAAATGGTTAGGAACATGAATGACCAACTCAACGACACCAGGGACAAACCACTGACGGATGATGACATCACCAGATACAGTGCTCCCCACATCTTTACATACCTGGAAAACCTTCTGCTTACCAGTGGTAAACCAGAGTTGTTAGAGATGCTCAAGAGACGGAGACACCTCAGTCCTATGTCGTTTATTGAAGACATAGAGTTTTCCCTTGATGTTGACAATGTGTTTACACACATTCGTATGAAGGAGAGTGGGCCTCTCACTTTGGACAGAGATATAAGATATGAACAAATATTAGAACTTGTCCACAACGTAGACGAAAGCTTCACCAATGTTGCTAGAATTATTCTTATTGAAGGGCCTGCCGGAGTTGGTAAGACGACATTCTTGTTAAAGTTACTAAGTGATTGGCAGGACGGCAAGAACACCATAGTAGGTCTTACTGACTACCAGCTGCTCTTCTACACTGAATGTAGAAATCCTCACATTAGTTCTCTTAAGCAGCTCCTCCAGTCACAGATGCCAAACACCGCTAAGAAGTATCGAGGTGAGGACATGGTCAAATATGTCCAGGAGTTGAGGCTCCTCGTACTTGTGGATGGTCTCGACGAATTAAATGAAGCTTCAAGAAAGTTGTTCAGCGAAATACTGTCTATGAAAGCTACGTGTAACGCTACTATAGTCTGTACTACAAGGCCAGAGATGGTGGACGATTTCTGCAAGACTATTCCAAAGCACATGAAACCTGTCTTTTTAGAACTAGTTGGTATTTCTGACAATAGTCGCACAGAGTTCGCTGCCAAGTACCATGACGAGCTGGTAAAAGTTAACAAGAGTACACAGAGTACACAAGAGCTGAAAGAGTACTTGCAAAGTGTACCAAGTAATATTCAAGAGCACCTAAGACTGCCCCTGAATCTGATATTCTTTACTTTCATATGGGCCACAGATCCAACTATAGTGAACAATATGACAACGGCCACACAACTGTACATTAAAATACAAGAAATGACAACAGAAAAATTGATTGAACGACTGAAATGCAATGCAGATACTCAGCATTTACCTGTGAAGGACCTGGAAAGAAAAACTCAAATATTCTTTCGAAAGTTATGTCGAGAATCACTTGTAAGCCTAAAAGATGATTCCATAATACTGACACAAGGGGTGACAGACAACCTTAAGCAGACATCTGATACTGTTGGCCTTCCGCTCGAGGAAGTTATTGGCGCCTTCCTCATCCAGACGAACACTTGGTCAACACTTGGAACCAGGTCTTACCTCAGTTTCCCTCACAAGGGAGTTCAGGATTTCTACAGCGCCTTGTACATAAGAGACACACTTCAGGGAAACAACGTAAACTTTGACGTATGTAAAATGGTACATGATGTTCAAGACTCCGTGAGTTCATATCAAATTCCTTCCTCATTAAGTCAAGACATTATGGAAGAGTTTAGCAATATTCTGTCAGAAAGATTGACACTTAAAGGCACCTGTACCATCAAGAAGGTCCTGGAAGAGATACACAAGGATGACCCGTCGTCACTGACTCTGAGGAAATATCAAAACGTCCTTATTCATCTAGCTGGTGTATTGTGCACTGAGGGAAAAATGGAAACGGAAGACACAGCCGAGGAACTGGTAGTCCTTCTTAAGGATGCAGGTGTGAAAAGCGAGAGTCAGTGGCTGGAACTGATAAATGGCGTGAAGTGTAACGCTACCTTGTGTAAGTACATCGCTGAACACATAACATCATTGGTGACCGGTGACATAAGGATCAGAGATAACAGTGTGTCAGCCTTCACCGCACTACTCCCTCATGCTCGGCCAGACAACATAATCGTGAGGATTAAAGGCAACCAAAACAACATTCCCCACTTTGATGACATGATGAAGATGCTGGCTGCGTGTAACAACTGTGACATACATATATATTTGGATCATAACTTCCGGCACCCTGAGACCTCCAGCCCCTCTCTTGACGCAGCACTCCAACTTGTCTTTAAACGGTACAGTAAGATATTTATATTTATCTCACAACAAACAGCTCCCACTTGGCGCGGTATTATGGGTAATAGTATACTAGAGGGTCTTATTTAAACTAGCCGTATTATCACTTATTATATAAAAGAGAAGTGTTTTATTACCTCAAGAATAATACGAAACGGATGTAGGCATTTGTAATTCGCTGGTTTATTTGATCAACCATAATAGTTTATTGGTATACTTCCAAGGTAGTTAAATATCTTTATTCAGTTGATCTTTGTTATTGAGTTTGTAATAATTGGATCATTACAGTGATGGCGAGGTGCTGCTTGGTACACGACTGTCTTTTTTAACTTTATGATACTTGGACAAAGCGATGCACAGTGACCTGCAGGTGTTCGTGTATGCATCAAGAAGGCACAGTCATCAGTTCATCAAGGAGTTCTTGGAGTAGTTGTTACTTTATCTCGGTGTGAGCCTTGATTCTTTGTCAGGCGAATAAACCTCCATCCATTTTGAACTAGATGTGTACAGTACATTATCCAGGTCTTACAGTGAAAGATGGAGCATTCCTGAGAATATAACTCATCCTCGTCTGGTGCCGTTGGTGACAGAAGGCATCAGATAATTCACCATTTTCACAACCTAAGTACTGTATAATACTACCATGGAAGTAGCGAACAACTCCCTGTCGTGTTGTCCGGGCAGCCGATTTTGTGTCCTGGAGCATCTTCTTGATTTCCTTTCAGTTGAATGTCAAAGGTTTTGGTTAGATTAATGAAAATCATTGCAAGTTCTTTTTCTGCTTTTGACACTTTTATTGTTTTTGACGAACTGCAAAGAACAAAACTGTGGTGCCGAGGCTGTGACTCTGAACACATGAGGCTACAAGATGTAAGTTGAGGATCACACGAAAAGGGATTTTGCCAGCTATGGATAGAAGAGAGATGGGATGATGGTTATCTGATGGATTTGTTGCCCATTCTCTTGTACAGGGAATTACTGGGGATCTTTGTATCCTGGGCCATGTCACGCTGAACCCAGATCGTTTTAAATAATTTAGTGAGTTATATTACCTTGTGTTTGCCACCATTAGATACAATGAAACGGTGTCTCAAGACATGTTCAGCCTAGTGAGTAAGGATATTGTTTCTCAATGTACAGTACAGAAGGATGCTAGCTGTCACACGTGGACAGGCGCTACAACAAAAATTTCTAAACTTACACAAAGTTTAAAATACTGTTCTGGTTCTATGAACTTAATTTGTTATATACTGTATATTAGTGAGCTTAAATCTAAAAATTTTAACCATAGTTGTGCAAAATCCAATATGGGTCACCTGAAGATTTGTTACCCAATTGATTTCACGATAGGTTAGGTTAGGACGGTTTATCCTGGGTGAAATATACCGAGGTCTGAAACATGAGATGATCCAGCAATTCTTTCATTATTATACAAAGTAGAGACTGATTCTACCAAATAGTAATGTTGCAGGTGTCGGGTGAGACAGTTCAAGGGACAACTGAGTGGTGCTGCTGTTAAGATGCTGCCAGACACGCTGCTGGGCCTCCACCTGGTGATAACTGGCAAAGATCCCGACCTGGCCCCAGCGCTGTCCTCTCTGTGGCGATCTGTACGGCTTGGTGGGTGTTATGTGTGTGTATGACCTCATGTGTGTGTGTGTGACCCCATGTTATATGTGTGTGACCCATGTTATGTGTGTGACCCCATGTTAGGTGTGTGTGACCCCATGTTATGTGTGTAACCCACATGTTATGTGTGTGACCCTATGTTATGTGTATATGACCCCATGTTATGTGTGTGACCCCCATGTTATGTGTGTGACCCCATGTTATGTGTGTGTGACCCCCATGTTATGTGTTTGACCCCATGTTATGTGTGTGTGTGTGTGTGTGACCCCATGTTATGTGTGTGACCCCATGTTATATGTCTGTGACCCATGTTATGTGTGTGACCCCATGTTATGTGTGACCCCATGTTATGTGTGTGACCCCATGTTATGTGTGTGTGACCCCCATGTTATGTGTGTGACCCCATGTTATGTGTATATGACCCCATGTTAAGTGTATGTGACGATGTGTTATGTGTGTGACCCCATGTTATGGACCCCATGTTACCTGTGTGTGACCTCATGTTATGTGTGTGCGTGACCCCATGTTACGTGTGTGTGACCCCATGCTACATGTGTGTGATCTCATGTTATGTGTGTGAGATCCTATGTTATGAGTTTGTGTGTGACCCCATGTTTTTCCGTATGTAATCCCATATTATGTATAGTTTAATTTTAAAAAACGCGCGCGCGTTTGTGTGTGTGTGTGTGTGTGTCTCTCTCTCTCTCTTTGTGTGTCTGGTGTTTTATGGATGATTACGAAATAAAAATGAATTTCAATATTATTTTTAAAGTTGGGACTTTATGTGTATGTAAAGCAGTTATGTAGACACATATTAAACAAACAATAACTGAATGGCATTAATGCTAAGGTAACTGACCTAACCTAACGTAACCTAACCATACCTAATCAAAATTTGGTCAATTTAAATGTTAAGGTAACAAAGGATGTCTAGACTTAATGAATGAGCGCATTTTTGTCAATTTTTTGCATTGTTTTCCACTGAGTTATAAAGAAATATTAATTACTAATTCATAAGTTCTCCCCGGAATTGGCTACATCCCTCTGCGCCATCATCGGTGCTTCCCTCGCCCAAGCAAGATGTCCAGCTGACTGGAAGACCTCGTATGTGTCACCAGAGCCCAAGTCAACGAGTCCACAATCTTTAAATGAGCTACGACCCATTGCCATCAACCCAATACCCAGCTTAATTTGCGAAAGTTTCGTTTTTGACTGAGCTTATGCTAATATTGCAGGTGCTATAGATCCTCAGCAATTTGGCAATATGAAAACTTCCTCCACCATTCACTGTCTTGTCAGTTTTCTCGACTATATATATCACCATCTGGAAAAACTAAAGACGTCTCTGGTTGTCGCCTTCATTGACTTCACCAAGGTATTCGACTTAGTCAACCACAATTTAATCATAAACAAAACTATCAACCTAGGGTTTCGGAGAAGTCTTACATCATGGCTTACAGACTTCCTTACTGACCGAGGCCAAGCTGTACGCTTCCGAGGGGCTGTCTCCACCTTTCAGCCACTCACCTGTGGCGATCCGCCAAGGCTCTGCTTCCTCATGCTTATCAATGATGCCCTGAAAGAAACTCCCGATCATTGGAAATATGTCGACGACTCCACCACTGAACTCGGCTACCGACTACAGCGCCCTCCAGAATATATTGACCAGTTCTCTACAATTGGGCCACCAACAACCATACCAAGACCATGGTCATGCACATCAATCTCCCCTCTGACCTTGTCCCACCTCCCTCCATTACTTTGGGCCCCAACACATTCTAGATTGTGGACTCCACCAAGCTCCTCAGCGTCACTATACTGTAGATAACACGTCAGTACAACTGTCAAATCGCCCAGTTTTCGTCTTCACCACCTCCGCCGTCACAAGTCCCCTCGGAGTTTCCGTGCTCGAGCTCCACAATGCTTAAACATCCATACTTCCCAAGCTCAGCTATGCCTCCCCTGGCTGGTCTTCCTCCATAAATGCCACAAAACGGAAGCACTTATGAAAAGTGCAGAAGAGGGCATGCAAAATTATTCTCTCCTCCTCCTACTCCACATATCAAGAAGAGCTCAACACACTTACCCTCTCAGCACCCTCTGATCGTCACCATGACCCCATCTGCAAATTTGGGGAGAGGCCGACATTACAACAGCATCCAGCCCATATGAACACACTGATCACTATAAGAACAGCCCAATCCCAACCATTGTAAATATTATCAACAACTCCTAGTTAACCAGTGTGTTCACTCCCTGTTAATCTTACTTTTGCACTGTTACTATTGCGAAACTCCCTGTTGTATGACCTCCCCCCTTGTTAATGCAATTATATCCCATGTATACCACTTATGCTACTTGTATATTATTTGTCAATCAAGTGATCCATTCCCAAATTATGTAGTTGTATGTTTTCAGCATTTCGTCTGCCAGTCTTTCTATTCTTTCAATAAACCGTTTATTATTATTATTATTATTATTATTATTATTATTATTATTATTATTATTATTATTATTATTATTATTATTATTATTATTATTATTCTCATCATTATTATTATTATCATCATTATTATTATCATCATTATTAGTATTATTATTAGTAGTAGTTGTAGTGGTATAGCTGTTTTTTTTTCTCCAGGACTGCATGTGCCCGCGGGGGTTACTCCAGCACTACTGCCTCGCCAGCTGCCAAACATTATATGTGGTCTTGACTTGTTCCTCTCCGGGATTGATACTGATCACATAGACTGGGCAGCCCAGGTGGCTCAACAACTACAGCCAGAAAACATGTAAGCTAAACACTCACTCTGTAAAGACTATTTGTTTAACATGCTTGTTATTAATAATCTATGTACATTGAACAACTTTTCTATTATAATGAACCAAGTCGCCAAGATGATAAAATTCTAACCTCCTGAAGGACTAATAATACTGACACATCACCATACATAACTTCTGTCAGTCATTGAGCCTTGTGAAGCGGCACCATCTCACGTGGTCCAGAAAACGTTAACTTTCCTCTACGAGTACAATGGCTGAAGATGTTTCTCTTCTTTCAATCCTAAGAAACTATCTCCACTAACCCCTTCACTATTGGACGTCACTTTTAATATTTTATTTGGTTAATGCCAGACGATTTTATTCAGGAGAGAGAGGCCCTCGTACCCAAGGGGTTTCACCATATTCAGTAACCCGTTTTTCTTGTCCCGTGGGGTTATAAATTTATTCTAGATGGTGACAAGAAGTTGACAGTGAAATAGGTTGCTTAATATGAAAAAAAAATATTATCTAAATTAGGAAGAGATGTTGTGTTCCCTACTCTCACTATTATGCTTCAGCTGCAAGGGAATTTTGAACGGCTTATAGTGTACCATCACATAAAGGTTGTATTGGTTCTCTCTTTATTTACAGTACAGTAAACATGTGAGCATCATGTTTGATCTAATATGATGAAATTATGACAGTCTAATGTTCAACAGCGTTATCTTTCCCGCCCTCAGGCAATTGGGTTACCTGGTGTTACCTGGGAGTCACCTGAGTGACCAAGATCTTCAGGTTTTGGCCAACCAGCTGAAGCGTCTTGACGTGCTGGTGGGTGACGGTGTTTATGTAACGGGAGACAAACATCAGGCCTTCGCTCTGTCTGGTTACACCGTCCATAGGTGCGTATTGTGTCATGAATCGTGTGTGTGTGTGTGTGTGTGTGTGTGTGTGTGATGTCAAGTGACTCACAGGTGCTCATAATGGTGTCAGGTGACTCACAGATGCTCATAATGATTCCAAGTGACTCACGGGTGCTCACAATGATGCGAAGTGACTCACAGGTGCTCATAATGGTGTCAGGTGACTCACAGATGCTCATAATGATGAAAAGTGACTCACAGTGCTCACATTGATGCCAAGTGACTCACAGGTGCTCATAATGGTGCCAAGTGACTCACAGGTGCTCATAATGGTGCCAAGTGACTCACAGGTGCTCATAATGGTGTCAGGTGACTCACAGATGCTCATAATGATGCCAAGTGACTCAGTGCTCATGATGCCAAGTGACAATGATGCCAAGTGACTCACAGGTGCTCATAATGGTGCCAAGTGACAGGTGCTCATAATGGTGCCAAGTGACTGTGCTCATAATGGTGCTAAGTGGCTCACAGGTGCTCATAATGGTGCCAAGTGACTAAGGTCCTCATAATGATGCCAAGTGACTCACAGGTGCTCATAATGGTGCCAAGTGACTCACAGGTGCTCATAATGGTGCTAAGTGACTCACAGGTGCTCATAATGATGCCAAGTGACTCACAGGTGCTCATAATGGTGCTAAGTGACTCACAGGTGCTCATAATGATGCCAAGTGACTCACAGGTGCTCATAATGGTGCCAAGTGACTCACAGGTGCTCATAATGGTGCCAAGTGACTCACAGGTGCTCATAATAGTTCCAAGTGACTCACAGGTGCTCATAATGATGCCAAGTGGCTCACAGGTGCTCATAATGATGCCAAGTGATCTACTAACACACTAAATAACCTTAATAAGGGAAATGAAGAGTACAGTAAAGGGTCTTGTTGACAATGATGAAGAAACACAATTAATTTATATTGGTTTTATATTATACTATATTATAATTCCAACTATTCCCACGCACAAAAGCAATTACACACACACACACACACACACACACACACACACACACACACACACACACACACACACGTCTGTTAGTAAACGCAATATTATTCTCAGTTTTTTTGCGACACCCAATTTTTTTTTCTTTTGTATTCCAGAATGAAGAAAGAAGACATATGGCGTTGGGGAGAGAGAAAGGGGTGAGAGAGAGAGGCCATACATGGTTACTGTACGTCATATAGTTAGGCTGCCATCATGACAACATACACAACACCTGTAGTATCTTAGTGTAACACTGCCACACACCTGTAGTATCTTACTGTAACACTGCCACACACCTGTAGTATCTTACTGTAACACTCTGCCACACACCTGTAGTATCTTACTGTAACACTGCCACACACCTGTAGTATCTTACTGTAACACTGCCAAACACCTGTAGTATCTTACTGTAACACTGCCACACACCTGTAGTATCTTACTGTAACACTGTAGTATCCACAACACCTGTAGTATCTTACTGTAACACTGCCACACACACTGCCACACACCTGTAGTATCTTACTGTAACACTCTGCCACACACCTGTAGTATCTTACTGTAACACTGCCCACACACCTGTAGTATCTTACTGTAACAGTGCCACACACCTATAGTATCTTACTGTAACACTGCCCACACACCTGTAGTATCTTACTGTAACACTGCTACACACCTGTAGTGTCTTACTGTAACCCTGTCACACACCTGTAGTATCTTACTGTAACACTCTGCCACACACCTGTAGTATCTTACTGTAACCCTGTCACACACCTGCAGTATCTTACTGTAACCCACACACCTGTAGTATCTTACTGTAACACACCACCACACACCTGTAGTATCTTACTGTAACACAGCCCACACACACCTGTAGTATCTTATTGTAACACTCTGCCACACACATGAAGTATCTTACTGCAACACTGCCACACACCTGTAGTATCTTACTGTAACACTGTCACACACCTGTAGTATCTTACTGTAACACACTGCCACACACCTGTAGTATCTTACTCTATCACACCGCCAAACACCAGTAGTATCTACTATAACACACCGCCAAACACCTGTAGTATCTTACTATAACACACTACCACACACCTGTAGTATTTTACTGTAACACTGCCACACACCTGTAGTATCTTACTGTAACACTGCACACACACCTGTAGTATCTTACTCTATAACACCGCCAAACACCTGTAGTATCTTACTATAACACACTACCACACACTTGTAGTATTTTACTGTAACACTGCACACACCTGTAGTATCTTACTGTAACACTGCCACACACCTGTAGTATCTTACTCTATAACACCGCCAAACACCTGTAGTATCTTACTATAGCACACCGCGAAACACCTGTAGTATCTTACCATAACACACTGCCACACACCTGCGGTAACTTACTATAACACACCGCCACACACCTGTAGTATCTTACTGTATCACACTGCCAAACACCTGTAGTATCTTACTATAACACACCGTCACACACCTCTACTGTCATACTGTAACACACTGCCACACACCTGTAGTATCTTACTGTAACACTGCCACACACCTGTAGTATTAGGTTTTATATCTAGAAGTGTAAGTAATAAGAGTGCAGAGGTCTTATTGCAACTATATCTTGCACTAGTCAGGCCGCACCTCGATTATGTTGTTCAGTTCTGGTGCCCTTATTAAAGAATGGATATCAATCACTGGAGTCGGTGCTGCGAAGAATGACGAAAATGATTACGGGACTTAGAAACCTTCCATATCTAGATAGATTAATGAAACTAAACTTGCATTCCCGCGAAATACGAAGAGTGCGGGGAGATATGATAGAAGTATTTAAGTGGGTGAAAGGAATCAATAAAGGAGATATAGATAAAGTTCTCAAAATATTCGAGGAGGATAGGACTCGTAGCAACTGATTTGGATAAGTTTAGGTTTAGGAGGGAGATAGGAAGGAACTGGTTCACAAATAGGGTGGTGGACGAGTGGAACAAGCTCAGCAACTTTGTAGTAAGTGCTGGAATGCTGGAAAGTTTTAAAAGTAGGCTAGATAGATTCATGGACGATAGAGAGTGGTTGTAATTCTCGACAGGAGATGCCATGTACAGGCCAACCGGCCTATTGCAGACTCCTTATTTTGGTATGTTCTTATGTACTATAACACCACGCCACACACTTAAGAACATAAGAATGAAGGAAACTGCAGTGGGCGTATTGGCCCATACTGAGCAGTCCCACTTATTGTACACCCAACCCCCATTGCTCATATATCCATCCAACCTATGTTTGAAGCTATCCAGCGTATTTGAGTTAATGATGATATTTGGTAACTTGTTCCACTCGTCCAGTACTCTATTTCCAAACCAATGTTTACCTATTTTCTCGCCAAAATCTAAATTTATCTAATTTAAATCCATTGTTCCGAGTTCTCTCCTAGTTGGATAGTTTGAGTACCTTTGTAATGTCCCCCTTGTTTAGCCCAGACTTCCATTTATACACCTCTATCATATTGCCTCTCGAGGGAGTGCAAATTAAGGAGCTTTAACCTGTCTCTGTACTCAAGGTTCCTAATGACCGGGATTATTCTTGTCATTCTCCTCTGAATTCTTTCTAAGGATTCTATATCCATTCTGTAATGTGGTGACCAGAATTGAACTGCGTAATCCAAGTGAGGTCTCACAAGCGCAAGATATAGTTTTAAGATGACCTCGTTAGTCTTGTAACTAACACTCCTTTGTATGAACCCAAGTACTTTATTAGCATTGTTTCGAGCATATACACATTGTTTACTTGGCTTAAGATAACTATTTATCATTACTCCTAAATCTTTCTCGCAGTCGGATTTCTCAATAACATTGTTGTTCATCTGGTATCTGGTTTCCCTGTTTACATCTCCTATACTGATTACTTTACATTTGTCCACATTGAATTTCATCTGCCATTTTTCAAACCATTCGAAAAATTTGTTTAGATTTTTCTGTATCTCTGCGGAGTCCTTGTCAGATTTAATTACACGCCCTATTTTAGTGTCATCAGTAAATTCACTTGTGTTGCTGTCTACGTCAATATCTATATCGTTTATGTATATAATAAATAATAATGGTCCAAGTACTGAGCCTTGGGGAACTCCACTAGTGACGTTGTTCCAATCGGATTTAGTGCCGTTAATGCTCCCTCGTTGTTTCCTGTCCTATAACCACGCCCTAATCCATTTTAGAATATCTCCTTTAATGTCATGAGCCTCCACTTTTCTTATTAGTCTTTCGTGGGGGACTCTGTCGTAGGCTTTGCTAAAGTCGAGATATCCCACATCATAATTGTGCCCCTCGTCCACTGATTCGAAAACAGCTGAAAAGAATGTTAATAGATTAGTTAGACATGAATGCCCGCTTGTGAAACCATGTTGGGAATCATTGATGAAATTGTGCTTCTCCAGGTGATTTGGAATAGAGTTTGAAATAATTGCTTCCAGAAATTTGCCTACAACTGATGTTAGACTGATTGGACGGTAGTTAGAGGATGGGGATTATCTCCCTTCTTGAAAATCGGTATTACATTCGGTATCCTCCAGGATTCTGGTACTACACCTGTTTTTAAGGACATGTTAAACAACTTTGCTAAGGGCATACTAAGCTCTTCCTTACATTCCCTTAATGTAAACAGCGATCACAAAGAAATTAGATTCCAGTTAGATTTTCAGGGCAGCCGTAAGGAAAATTCCACAAAAGTCCCAGATTTCAGAAGGGCAAACTTTGATAGTTTGAAGAGGCAGTTGAGAGAAGGGGCATCACGCTTGGAGGTGAACTACATGGACCTTGTATGTATATGTATATTATGTATGCTGTATGTATATTATTTATGTTGTATGTATACTATGTATGTACTCCATTTATATACATTACTTATTTAGCTAGCAGCGTGTGGCAATGTATTTTTCATGTCACCAAACGCTTAGATAATGTGCCTCACGACATCTGGAAGCTGCTAATGTACCACTTGCCACATGTCGCCTGAGAGGTCAGGTGACCCATAGAGAGAAGTGAGTTAACCCATAGAGAGTGTAGGGAACCGCCGTCTTGGTTCACGCTCCTCTGTACAATCCAACAAATAGAATCTACAAAACTCTATAGGTGTTTGTGTTCGCTCCTGTAGTTAGAACTGAGTACAGACCTGACGGTTGAAACCGACCTCATAACGAGATCTGAGGTTGCCGAGTTCCACGACAATTTAAATAATGAGTTACTTAATGCACAAAGGCAGAACATACCATACAAAAAACTCAGATCAAACAACAATGACCCTAAATTGATAAAATATTACTTAAAGAACATTATTGGTCAAAGGAAGGCTATGGGTAGGAGGATAAATCGTGATGAAATTTACCTCCGGGATTATTATAAGGTATTGGCCGGTAGGGTTAAGACCGAGATAAGGAAAGCAAAGAGGTATAATGAGCTGAGGATAGCAAAGGAGGCGAAGACAAACCCCAAAGGATTCTATCAAATGTATCAAACTAAAACACGAGAAAAGATTGGGCCAATACAGTCAGATACCGGCGAGCTAACTGATAATGTTGGAGAAATGAGCAATAATCTGAATAAATATTTTTCAACAGTTTTCACCACCGAAAATTTAAACATGATACCCGAGGCACCGGCTCTATTCAGAGATAGAGAAGAAAACAAATTAAGCGAGATAGTAGTGACTAGTAACGATGTTAGTAAGCAAATAGACAAACTAAAGCCTAATAAGTCACCTGGTCCCGATGAGATATTTGCCAGAGTATTAAAGGAATGTAAGGAAGAGCTAAGTATGCCCTTAGCAAAGTTGTTTAACATGTCCTTAAAAACAGGTGTAGTACCAGAATCCTGGAGGATAGCGAATGTAATACCGATTTTCAAGAAGGGAAATAGATCACCATCCTCTAACTACCGTCCAATCAGTCTAACATCAGTTGTAGGCAAATTTCTGGAAAAATTATTTCAAACTCTATTCCAAATCACCTGGAGAAGCACAATTTCATCAATGATTCCCAACATGGTTTCACAAGCGGGCGTTCATGTCTTACTAATCTATTAACATTCTTTTCATCAGGTTTCGAATCGGCGGACGAGGGGCACAATTATGATGTGGTATACAGTAAAACCTCGATTAACCGACCCTCGATTAACCGACTTTCAGATTATCCGTCGGCCCCTTCCCCCCATATGTGGTCGGTTAATCGAGGTTTTACTGTATCTCGACGTAGCAAAGTATGACAGAGTCCCCCACGAAATACTCATAAGAAAGGTAGAAGCACATGGCATTAAAGGTAACATTCTGAAATGGTTTAGGGCGTGGTTACAGGACAGGAAACAGCGAGTGGGCATTAACGGCACTAAATCCCATTGGAGCAACGTCACTAGTTGAGTTCCCCAAGGCTCAGTACTTGCACCATTATTATTTATTATATACATAAACGACATAGATATCGGGATAGACAGCAACATAAGTAAATTTGTTGATGACACTAAAATAGGACGTGTAATTAAATCTGACGAGGACTCCGTAAGACTACAGGAAGATCTAAACAAATTTTTCGAATGATCTGAAAAATGGCAGATGAAATTCAATGTGGACAAATGTAAAGTACTCAGTATAGGAGATGTAAACAGGGAAACCAGTTACCAGATGAACAACGATGCCATTGTGAAATCCGACTGCGAGAGAGATTTAGGAATAATGATAAGTAGGAATCTTAAGCCAAGTAAACAATGTGTTTTTGTTCGTAACAAGGCTAATAAAGTACTTGGGTTCATACAAAGGAGTGTTAGTTACAAGACTAGCGAGGTCATCTATCTTGCGCTTGTGAGACCTCACCTGGATTACGCAGTTCAGTTCTGGTCACCGCATTACAGAATGGATATAGAATCCTTGGAAAGAACCCAGAGGAGAATGACAAGACTAATCCCGGGCATTAGGAACCTTGAGTACAGAGACAGGTTAAAGCATCTTAATTTGCACTCCCTCGAGAGACATAGAGCGAGGGGCGACATGATAAAGGTGTATAAATGGAAGTCAGGGCTAAACAAAGGGGACATTACAAAGGTACTCAAACTATCCAACTAGGAGCGAACTCGTAACAATGGTTTTAAATTAGACAAATTTAGATTTAGGAGAGAAATAGGTAAACACTGGTTTGGAAACGGAGTAGTGGATGAACAAATTACCAAATATCATAATTAACTCGAATATGCTGGATAGCTTCAAACATAGGTTGGATGTTTATATGAGCAATAGGGGTTGGGTGTAAATGGGACTGCCCAGTATGGGCCAATAGGCCCGCTGCAGTTTCCTCCATTCTTATGTTCTTATGTAAATACTCTGGCAAATATCTCATCGGGACCTGGTGACTTATTCGGCTTTAGTTTGCCTATTTGATTACTAACATCATTACTAGTCACTACTATCTCGCTTAATTTATTTTCTTCACCATCTCTGTATAGAGTCGGTGCCTCGGGTATCATGTTTATATTTTCGGTGGTGAAAACTGTTGAAAAATATTTATTCAGATTATTGCTCATTTCTCCGTCGTTATCAGTTAGCTCGACGGTATCTGACTGTATTGGTCCAATCTTTTCTCGCGTTTTAGTTTGATACATTTGAAAGAATCCCTTGGGGTTTGACTTCGCCTCCTTTGCTACCTTTAGTTCATTATTCCTCTTTGCTTTTCTTATCTCGGTCTTAACCCTACTGGCCAATACCTGATAATAATCTCAGAGGTAAACTTCACATCGATTTATTCGCCTACCTATATCCTTCCTTTGTCCAAAAATATTTTTTAAATAATTATTTATCCATTTAGGGTCATTGTTGTTTGATCTGAGTTTTCTGTATAGAATGTTCTGCCTTTGTGTATTAAGTAACTCATTATTTAAATTGTTGTGGAACTAGTCAACCTGAGATCTCGTGATCAGGTCATCCTCAACCGTCACGTCTCCAGGTAAGGTGAGGTTGCCCTCTGTGGGTACACTGTGTGAGGACACCCCATGTGAGGTCGTGTAATTCACCCCCAAGCGTGATACCCCTTCTCTCAGCTGCCTCTTCAAACTATCAAAGTTTGCCCTTCTGAAATCTGAGACTTTAGTGGAATATTTCTTGCGGCTGCCCTGAAATTCTAACTGGAATCTTATTTCTTTGTGATCGCTGTTAGCAAGTTCGTTCCCTACCTCGACATTACTAATGAGGTTTTCTCTATTTGACAGAACTAAATCGAGTATATTATTACCCCGGGTGGGTTCGGTTATATTTTGACTTAGAAAACAGTCCTGAACTGTTTCAAGAAAATCCTCTGATTCTGAGCTACCTGTAAGGTCGATCCAATCTATTTGGCTAAAGTTAAAGTCGCCTACTATACAGACTTTGTTATATATGGAAGCCCTGCGCATTTCATCCCAAATAAGTCGCTCATTAACTCTATCAAGATTAGAAGGTCTATATATTACTCCTGTGATTTATTTTTCCCTACCATCGATTAATTCTATCCAAATTGTTTCTGTATTCCACTCAGTTTTTATTTCCTTATTTATTTCACACTTCAGATTATCCCTGACATAGATTGCTACTCCGCCCCTTTCTAATCTGCCTATCAGTATGGAATAACCTGTAACCTGCAATTTGGTATTCGACAGGTAACTCACGTGAGTCTAGGTTTATCCATGTTTCGGTGAATGCTATTATATCGATTTTTTCTGTACATACCAACGCCCTGATTTCATCCATTTTGTTTCTCATACTTCTACTGTTTGCGTAGTAGACATTTAAGTTAATCGTGTTATGAGTCCTCTCTTTGTTGCGTTTAGGTTTTAACTTCCTGCCTAATTTAGTTTTGTCATCATTCCTAGCACTATTTCCCTGTAATCTTTCACTTTGTTTACCCGCTCCCACCGCAGTCTCCTCAACCCCCGTGTTCATATGTTCCTCTTGCAGTTTAAAGACTTTCCTCTCGAGAGAGCCAGCCAGGGTTGCCACCCCATCCCTAGACAGATGCACCCCATCCCTAGCATAAAGGTCCCTTCTGCCGTAGAAGTTGTCCCAGTTGTCAATGAATGGGACTGACATTGACTTGCAATATCTGTCAAGACGGCCGTTGACACTAACTGCCCTTGACAGCCATTCACCACCAACTCCTCTTCTAGGCAAGACACCACATACTATCGGGATCCTTCCCCTATCTCTAACTTCCCCTAGCGCCTCCCTATACCTCTTGAAAAGTTCCTCACTCCTAACCTTTCCTATGTCGTTACCTCTTACACTAAGACACACTGCTGGCATGGTACCCTCCCCTGATAAAACCTTGTCTATCCACTCAACTACATGCCCAATCCCAGCCCCAGAAAACCACACTCTAGTCCTACGTTTCCTATCTCTTGCACAAAAAGTCCTATCTAAAAACCTCACCTGGCTGTCCCCAACTACCACGATCTTACCACTGGGCAGGGTCTGAACAACTGCCCTTTTCTCTCCTGGCACCACACCGTCCTGCCTCTTCATAACACGAGCACTTAGGGGCACGTCCTTATCGAGTGCACACTGACAGCAACGAACACACAATGGCTGCAACACATACACACTGACAGCAACACACACACACACACTGACAGCAACACACACACACTGACAGCAACACACACACACTGACAGCAACACAAACACTGACAGCAACACACACACACTGACAGCAACACACACACTGACAGCAACACATTCACACTTACACACACACGCTGACAGCAACACATTCACACTGACAGCAACACACACACTGACAGCAACACACACACACACACTGACAGCAACACATTCACCTTACAGCAACACATTCACACTGACAGCAACACACACACTGACACACATTCACACTGACAGCAACACACACACTGACAGCAACACATACACACAGACAGCAACACATTCACACTGACAGCACACACACACTGACAGCAACACATTCACACTGACAGCAACACACACACACTGACAGCAACACATTCACACTGACAGCAACACACACACACTGACAGCAACACACACACTGACAGCAACACATACACACACTGACAGCAACACATTCACACTGACAGCAACACACATACACACACTGACAGCAACACATACACACACTGACAGCAACACACACACTGACAGCAACACATACACACACTGACAGCAACACATTCACACTGACAGCAACACACACACACTGACAGCAACACATTCACACTGACAGCAACACACATACTGAGAGGAACAAGTTTATATTGTGTCCTTAATGTGACATCTAATTTATGTTTTTTTATTGCAGTGAAGCGGATTTTGCCTTACGGATACAGAGGTAAGAGTGAGTCTTTGTAAGTCTTATGATATATATATATATATATATATATATATATATAATAAGGGTCATATAATGCTTGATACAGCTTTTATTGTTTGTTTAATGTGACATCTAATTTATGTTTTATTTTACAGAGAGCAGGAAGCTGCCGAACAGAGACGGAGGTGAGTGAGGCTACACAGGTCTACTTTACCAGTAATGCTGCCATCATGACCAAATGTACAACAATTACCACCACCACACACCTGTAGCATCTTACTCCCACACCTGTAACACTCACCACCACCACACACCTGTAGCATCTTACTCCCACACCTGTAACACTCACCACCACCACACACCTGTTGCATCTTACTCCCACACCTATAACACTCACCACCACCATCACACACCTGTAGCATCTTACTCCCACACCTGTAACACTCGCCACCACCATCACACACCTGTAGCATCTTACTCCCACACCTGTAACAATTAGGGTGTGATAAAACTGTATAAGATAAAACTTGATAAAATCACACGGGAAAAGGGAAGCATTGGAGCACCATAGCTTTCATCTTTATTCAAGACATCTTCAGAGGCAACTGAATTTACAGGGACTGAAAGAGGCTTACAGCTGTATATACAATGGGTGACCTTATATAACATCAGGTCAGATCAATAATATGAGATCAACTAATCCACACACTACCTCCACTGCAAATGAATGAAGAGATTATGAAAAATGGGTGACATAGCAACAGGTCAGGTCAAAAACATGAGGCCCAATAAGCATCTAACCTGTATCCACCTCAAATGGTTTCAAAGCATTTTTAACCTTGGGCCACTGACAAATAAATTTAGGGAACAATTATTATCAGTTTTGTACTGACCATCTCTAACGGTTATAAAATTCATTTCCCTGATTAAAATTGCTTCAACCAGAAGTCTTTCCGTGACACATTTTGATTTGAACACATTTACATTATACCGTTTTTCAATCCATACTATGATTATTTTTTCCAATATGAACGAAAACTGTACTGTTTTCAGATGTTGTTCGAATATTATACTTGTGTTAACATAAGAACATGAGAACATAAAAATGGAGGAAACTGCAATGGGGCTATTGACCCATGCTGGGCAGTTCTGTTTACACCCAACCCCTATCGCTCATATACCCGTCAAACCTATGTTTGAAAATATCCAGCGTATTCGAGTTAGTGATGACGTTTGGTAACTTGTTCCACTCATCCACTACTCTATCTCCAAACAAATGTTTACTTATCTCGCGCCTAAATCTAGATTTGTCTAATTTAAAACCATTGCTTCGAGTTCGCTCTTAGTTGGATAGTTTGAGAACCTTCGTTCAGCTCTGACTTCCATTTATACACCTCAATCATATCGCCTCTCACTCTACGTCTCTCGAGGGAGTGCAAATTAAGATGCTTTATCATCTCTGTGTACTCAAGGTTCCTAATGTCCGGAATTAGTCTTGTCATTCTCCTCTGAATTCTTTCTAGGGATCCTATATCCATTCTGTAGTAAGGTGACCAGAACTGAACAGTGTAATCCAAGTGAGGTCTCACAAGCGCAAGATATTGTTTTAGGATAACCTCGCTAGTCTTGTAACTAACACTCCTTTGTATGAACCCAAGTACTTTGTTAGCCTTGTTTCAAGCAAATACACATTGTTGTCTTGGTTTAAGAATCCTACTGATCATTACTCATAAGTCTTTCTCACAGTCGGATTTCTGTATAACAACGTCGTTCATCTGGTATCTGGTTTCTCTATTTACATTCAATTTCATCTGCCATTTTTCAAACCATGTGATTTTTTTTAGCTCTTCCTATAGTTTGACGGAGTCTTCGTCAGATTTAATTGCACGCACTATTTTATTGTCATCAGCAAATTTTCATACGTTGCTGTCTATGCCTATATCTATATCGTTTATGTATACTGTACTGTATAATAAATAGTAATGGTCCAAGTACTGAGTCTTGGGGCACTCCACTAATGACGTTACCCCAATCGGATTTAGTGCCGTAAATGCTAACACGTTGTTTTGTTTTTTTGTCCAGAAACCACGCCCTAATCCATTTTAAAATATTTTCTCCAATGCCATGAGCCTCCACATTTCGTATTAGTCACTCGTGGGGGACTTTGTCGAAGGCTTTGCTAAAGTCGAGGTATACCACATCATAATCTTGCCCATCATCCACTGATTTTAAAACAGTTGAAAAGAATGTAAATACATTTGTCAGACATGAACGCCCACTTGTGAGGCCATGTTGGGAATCATTGATCAACCCGTGCCTCTCTAGGTGATTTCAAATAGAATTTGAAATTACTGCTTCTAGCAACTTGCCTACAATTGATATTAAACTGATAGGACGATAGTTAGAGGATAGTGATCTATCTCCCTTCTTGAAAACCGGTATCACATTCGCTCGCTGTCCTCCAGGATTCTGGTATGACACCCGTTTTTAATGACGTGTTAAACAAGTTTGCTAAGGGCATACTGAGCTCTTCCTTACATTTCTTTAATACTCTGGCAAATATCTAATCTGAACCTGGTGACTTATTAGTCTTTAGTTGGCTATTGGTTTATTACCATCGTTACTGGTCACTACTATCTCGCTTAATCTATTTTCTTCAATATCTCTCTATAAAGTCGGTGCCTCGGTTATTATGTTAAAACTTTCGGTGGTGAAAAATGTTGAAAAGTGTCTGTTCAGATTATTGTTAATTTCTCCAACGTTATCTGGTAGCTTCCCGGTATCTTCCAATCTTGCCTTTTCAACCTATCAAAGTTTGCCCTTCTAGACTCTGGGACCTAAATGGCATTTTCCTTTTGACTGACATTAAGTTTTACTTTGAATCTCACTTCTTTGTGATCGCTGTTAGCTTGTTTGTTCCTTACCTCGACATTACTAATGAGGTTTTTTTGTTCGACAGAACTAAATTGAGTATATTATTACCCTGGGTGGGTTCGGCTATATGTTGACTTAGGAAACAATCCTGAACTATTTAAAAAATAAATTAAATAAATAAATCCTCTGATTCTGAGTTACCCGTAAGGTCGGTCCAATCTATTATGACTAAAGTTAAAGTCGCCTAATATACAGATTTTGCTCTGTCTTGATGCCCGACACAATTCATCACAAATAGTTGCTCATTAACTCTATCGAGATAAAATTTTCCCTACAATCGGTTAATTCTATCCAAATTGTTTCTGTATTAAGTTCAGTTTTTATTTCCTTATTTATTTCACATTTCAGATTATCCCTTAAATAGATTGCTACACGCTTCCTTTCCTAATCTGCCCATCGGTATGGAATAATTTGTAACTTGCAATTTGGTATTCGACAGGTAACTCACGTGAGTCTAAGATTATCCATGTTTCTGTGAATGCTATTATACCGATTTTTTCAGTACGTACCAACGACCTGATTTCAACCATTTTATTAGTCATACTTAAACTATTTCCATAGTAGACATTTAAGTTAGTCGTGATTTGAGTCCTCTCTTTTGTTTCATACTAAGTTGTAATGCTTTCCCAGTCAAACCTACATAATTTCCATTAGAATTGCTACATGGAATGCAGTAAACACTTCCATTTACATTCAAGGTTCGACTGTCCTTAATTACCATAACATGCCGTAGACGAGGTGTGTGGATTAGTGAGTCCTATGTTATTGACCTGATGTTATGTGAGGTCATCCAGTGTATAAAAGCTTCTCTTATCTCAGTCCCTTTAAATTCAGTTGTTTGTTTAATGTGACATCTAATTTATGTTTTATTTTACAGAGAGCAGGAAGCTGCCGAACAGAGACGGAGGTGAGTGAGGCTACACAGGTCTACTTTACCAGTAATGCTGCCATCATGACCAAATGTACAACAATTACCACCACCACACACCTGTAGCATCTTACTCCCACACCTGTAACACTCACCACCACCACACACCTGTAGCATCTTACTCCCACACCTGTAACACTCACCACCACCACACACCTGTAGCATCTTACTCCCACACCTATAACACTCACCACCACCACACACCTGTAGCATCTTACTCCCACACCTATAACACTCACCACCACCACACACCTGTAGCATCTTACTCCCACACCTATAACACTCACCACCACCACACACCTGTAGCATCTTACTCCCACACCTATAACACTCACCACCACCACACACCTATAGCATCTTACTCCCACACCTGTAACACTCACCACCACCACACACCTGTAGCATCTTACTCCCACACCTGTAACACTCACCACTACCACACACCTGTAGCATCTTACTCCCACACCTGTAACACTCACCACCACCACCACACACCTATAGCATCTTACTCCCACACCTGTAACACTCACCACCACCTCACACCTGTAGCATCTTACTCCCACACCTGTAACACTCACCACCACCACACACCTGCAGCATCTTACTCCCACACCTGTAATGCTTAACACCTCCTCACACCTGTAGCATCTTACTCCCACACCTGTAACACTCACCACACTACCACACACCTGTAGCATCTTACTCCCACACCTGTAACACTTAACACCACCACACACCTGTAGCATCTTACTCCCACTCCTGTAACACTTAACATCACCTCACACCCGTAGCATCTTACTCCCACACCTGTAACACTCACCACTACCACACACACCTGTAGCATCTACTCCCCACACCTGTAATATTCACCACCACCACACACCTGTAGCATCGTACTCCCACACCTGTAACACTTAACACCACCTCACACCTGTAGCGTCTTACTCCCACACCTGTAATACTCCACCACCACCCACACACCTGTAGCATCTTATTCCCACACCTGTAACACTCACCACTACCACACACCTGTAGCATCTTACTCCCACACCTGTAACACTCACCACCACCACACACCTGTAGCATCTTACCCCACACCTGTAGCACTCACCACCACCTCACACCGTAGCATCTTACTCCCACACCCGTAACACTCACCACTACCACACACCTGTAGCATCTTACCCCACGCCTGTAACACTCACCACCACCACCACACATCTGTAGCATCTTATTCCCACACCTGTAACACTCACCACCACCACACACCTGTAGCATCTTACTCCCACACCTGTAACACTCACCACCACCATACACCTGTAGCATCTTACCCCACACCTGTAAAACTTAACACCACCTCACACCCGCAGCAACTTACTCCCACACCTGTAACACTCACCACACCACATACATGTAGCATCTTACTTCCACACCTGTAACACTCACCACCACCATAATAATGGAAGCCCCTTGAAATCAAGGATGGCCCGCCCAAGGGCCACCAAGGCGTGAATTTGTGTAAAGTGTATAAGCTGTCGCCAACACAACAACCACACCCTGAGTTACGAGTTGCATGACCCAGTGTCAAGGAACAATCCGAGAAGACCGGACAACTCGCCAACTGCACTGGCTAACCATTACCCCGGAACACGATCCGCAAATCGATAACATCTAGGTTTCCAATTACTGCTGGATAGACAGAGGCAAAAGGAGTAAAGAAACTGGCCCATAGTTTCACCCTGCCCGGGATCGAACTCGGGTCCGCTCGCTTGCGAGGCGCGCCCACAGCAACACACACACCAACAGTAACACACCCACAGCAACACTCAACCACAGCAGCATGCACACAGCACACACACCCACAGCAACACACCCACAGCAACACACCCACAGCAACACACCCACAGCAACACCCACTTATACCAACACTCACTCACAGCAACACCCATCTATAGCAACACCCATCTACAGCAAAAGACACCCACAACAAGAAACTTAATACATTATAACACACACACACACACGCACTAACGCACACACACATACACATGCATTTAGTACTTTGCTGTTACTCGGAATCGAGTATGACGATCATTCAGCTATGATACAATGATATGAGTTATTAAGAATTTCACCTACGTTAGTGAGCTCTGAGGCGACTCAAAAGGCTGATAAGAACATAAGAACATAAGAAAGTGGGATACTGCAGGAGGCCGACTGGCCCATACAGGGCAGATCCCTTTCACACCCATCCCAGCACTTCCATGTGCCTATCCAACTTCGTCTTGAAGCTCCCTAGGTTCCTGATCCTACTATAGCACTCGGTAGCCTATTCCACATATCCACAACTCTATTACCAAACCAGTGCTTGCCTATATCCTTTCTGAATCGGAATTTATCTAATTTAAAGCCATTTGTTCTAGTTATTTCGTTATTACTGAGCTTCAGAACATCTTCCATTTTACCCTTGTTAATCCCACTTACCCACTTGTACACCCTATCATATCTCCCCTAACTCTACGCCTCTAATGAATGTAAGCCTGCTTTTCAGTCTTTCTTCATATGGAAGGTTTCTAATATTATGGATCATTTTTGTCATTCTTCTTAGTACTCTCTCCAAAGAATCTATGTCCATTCTATAATAAGGACACCAGAACTGAACCACATAATCCATGTGTGGCCTCACTAATGCTAGGTAAAGTTTCAAGATAACGTCAGCAGTTCTGTTACTCACAGACCTAGATATGAACCCAAGAATCCTGTTTGCCTTGTTGCGAACGCTAATACATTGTTTTCTAGGTTTCAAGTCGTTGCTAACAAATACACCTTGATTTTTTTTCACAAACTGAGTTTTCTATTTACGTGTTACCTAGTTTATACTTAACGTTTGTATTCGTCTTCCCTATCTGTAGTACCTTGCATTTATCACTATTAAAATTCATTTGCCAGTCTACTGACCACTCATGTAAGGTATCTAGATCTCTTTGAAGGTGTTCAAAGTCACTGTCTGAATTTATCACTCTCCCCATTTTGGTATCATCTGCAAATTACTAATCCTACTAGTTATGCCTAAAATCAGATCATTAATGAATATAACAAACAGCAAGACCCTAATACAGATCCTAGAACTCATGACCTTTTAGTCTGACTTTAATCCATTTATGCTGACTCTTTGAAACCAGTTAACCATGACCTGAAATCATTTTAATACTGATCACCTATTCCATAATAGCTTCTTCCTTATCAATCTCATGAGGGACTCTATCGAATGCTTTACTGAAATCTAAATAAATTATATCATATGACTTATCATTATCTACCGCTTCAAATACTTCTGAGAAAAAGCTAAGCAAATTTGTGAGACAAGAACGTCCCTGGGTGAACCCGTGCTGAGAAGAATGAATTAAGTTGAATGTTTTAAGGTGGCTTCTGATTTTTGTAGCAATAATTGACTCTAGCAACTTGCCTATGATTGACGTGAGACTAATGGGACAGTAATTTGATGCTATTGATTTATCACCCTTTTTGAAAATCGGAACTACATTTGCAAGTTTCCAAGCTTCTGGCACTAGGCCCGATTCTAATGACTTATTAAATAAAACTGCTAATGGATTACTCAACTCATCTCTACATTCTTTTAATATTCTAGCATATACCTCGTCTGGACCAGGCGATTTATGAGGCTTCAGTTTGTTAATTACTTTAAGCACATCGTTACTAGTAATATTGATATTCATCAACATATTTTCTATACTGTCGTTATATACCTTATGAACTTCTGGAAACTGTGCTAGGTTTTCATTTGTGAATACGGAGCGAAAATGACTATTTAACGTACTACACATTTCTAACTCATCATCAGTCATTTCTCCTGTCGTAGTTTTAAGGGGACCTATTGTATCTCTAACCTTTGATTTATACAGTTGATAAAAAGCTGATGACTGATCTGGCTGGGCGGTCCACAGCAGGATCTTGGCTCTCCTTTTTCCTGACCCCAGTGATGCAAGTGTTGACACGACTGGGGAGAGGGAGAGTTGCAATGGACTTCAGATAGCCCAGCTTGTTGGGTTTCGCCTTAGTAGCCTATCCATCTTCTATTGCCTTCATCTGCCGGTGTAGTCGTTGGGTCCCCATGTTGGTCACCTCTTCCACCTATACCGCCGTTATGGTCTTGTTGGAGCTCTGTAACCATGATTGTCTGATACGGGGCTCCACCGTTGATTTATCACTTGGGGGTTTACTCCCGTAGCCTTATACTTGCCAAGGTTAATCTGTAAGGCAGCGGGGCAGTGGTTGGTAGGTGCTAGGACGTCTTCACATGCCGGTGGGCCTATGTGCCATCCCTCTGGGGTCCACTGCTGCTTCGAGATCCACTGCTGGTTTAGCCTGGGCCCACGAGACACCCAGTTGCCGTGTGTTGCCACGAGAAAGCACAGCAGGAATCTTGATGGTGAAGAGGCTGTGTACTGGCAAGGGAAGACTTATGCAAGTTGGTCCCTTGTTCGCCACGAGGGCTAGCCAGCGGCGGCAGCTGAAAGCGAGAAGCAAGCAGTGCTTGCACTTTAACACTAACATAATACTGCCACACTAGACGCATTTCACCACCCTGAGCACACACACACTCACAATGTAGCAATACCCCATCCACAGCACAGCACCACACCTCTACAGCAATTCACAACCACATCAACATACATGTATAGCAATATAGATACACAACATGACACCTCTCCTGTAAAACACAAACCTTGAGAATAAAAATGTACAGCGACCTGTGCCCGGGTGGGCTAATCCCTGTAAAAAAAAATGAAAAATAAATAAATAAATAAAATAAAATATATAATAAGAAAAATGAAGATAAAAATAATAATAAAATAATAATAATAATAATAATAATAACAAAAACACTGTAATAATAATAATAATAATAATAATAATAATAAAGAACAATAAAGAAATACAAAAATGAAAAAAGATCAAAAGTGAGAAACAATATATGTATGTTGAGTTGTCAATAGTAAGAGAAACAATTGAGACCCTGCAATTCTGTGTAAATGAGACAAATTCAGATCAGCAACCTGGGACTTGGTCACACATGGCAGCAGGGTCTACCATTAGACAGCACATTATGCTTCCAATATCTTCCCAGGAGGTAGCACCTCCCTGTTTGGTAGTTGTCTACTACCTAGTACCTACGCTGCCACCAGTTAAGAAACTCAATACAGTGATAAACCCCATTAGCCGGAGCAATTGGTGCAGACCATTTCCAGGAATGAGAGATTTCCGGGTAATAGAACGACTCTCTCGAACCGAGAAAAATATCCCTCATCCCGGGAATTTTCCGGGTATCGGAAAAATGTTATAAAAACTTCTGGAAAATGTGCCCCTCAGAAAATCATTCTGAAATCTGGAATTTTCCGGAAAATTCCGGCCTTGGGAACGATTTTCCGAGAAAATTTCAATTCCTGCTCTCAGAGTTCTGGGTTTGGGGAATTCCAGCTAACGGAGATATTACTGTATTTCCTTGTGTATAAGATGGCGTTACTCCACCCCCCCACCCCCAATTTAACGAGCTGCATGACACAGTGTCAATGAATAGTCCCAGAAGACAGGACAACTTGCCAACTGCACTGGCTAACTATCACCCCGGAACACCATCCACAGATCGATTAACATCCAGGTTCCTAATTACTGCTGGGTAGACAGAGACAATGGCGTAAAAAATTGCCCATGCTTAACCCTGCCTGAGGATCGAACTCGAGTGCAACCATTTGCAAGGCAAGCATGCTGACCATTACCCCACAGGTCGCCGATATACAGTATATATATATATATATATGCATATGCAAGTAAATCACTGTAGGTGCGCGTGATCTAGGTATATGCTGATAACCACAAGGAAAGAAGAAAACACGAAGTTCCCAAGCGATTTCGTGTAATTCACATCTTCAGAGGTGGGTACAGACTAAGGAGTACAAACCAAGGTGTATATATACAGAGGAGGGTGAGATCAGGTCCACAATGGTTAGGTATTAGGAAATGACCCTACTAATCTTTAAATAGCACGGCAACGGTCGGTAGTCAGGTCAGAGGGTAAGGTGACCCAACCTTCTCACCTGGTTACAAATCTTGTTTTGTACTCCTTAGTCTGTACCCACCCCTGAAGATGTGAATTACACGAAAGCGCTTGGGAACTTCGTGTTTTCTTCTTTCCTTGTGGTTATCAGCATATATATATATATATATATATATAATGCTTGAGAGAGCTTTTATTGTCTGTTTAATGTGACATCTAATTTATGTTTTATTTTACAGAGAGCAGGAAGCTGCCAAACAGAGACGGAGGTGAGTGAGGCTACACAGGTCTACTTTACCAGTAATGCTGCCATCATGACCAAATGCACAACAATTACCACCACCACACACCTGTAGCATCTTACTCCCACACCTTTAACACTCACCGCCACCACACACCTCTAGCATCTTACTCCCACACCTGTAACACTCACCACCACCACACACCTGTAGCATCTTACTACCACACCTGTAACACTCACCACCACACACACCTGTAGGTAACACTACACCAGCACTCCCACACCTTTACACTCACCGCCACCACACACCTGTAGCATCATACTCCCACACCTGTAACACTCACCACCACCTCCTCTAGCATCTTACACCTGTAACACTCACCAATACCACACACCTGTAGCATCTTACCACACCTGTAACACTCACCACCAGCACACACCTGTAGCATCTTACCCCACACCTTTAACACTCCACACACCTGCATCTACTAACACTCACCACCACCACACACCTCTAGCATCTTACTCACCCAACACTCACCAATACCACACACCTGTCTTACTACACACACTCACACCACACACACCTGCATCTTACTCACCTGTAACACTCACCACCACAACACACCTGTAGCATATTACTCCCACACCTGCACCACCACCACCACACACCTGTAGCATCTTATTCACCTGTAACAGACCCATCACCACCACACACCTGTAGCATCTTATTCCCACACCTGTAACACTCACCACCACACACCTGTAGCATCTTACTCCCACACAAGCAACACTGACCACCACTACCACACACCTGTAGCATGTTACTCCCACATTTGTAACACTCACCACGACTACACACCTGTGACATCTTAATCCCACACCTGTAACACTCACCACCACCACACAACTGTAGCATCTTACCTCCACACTGTAACACTCACCATCACCACACACCTGTAACACTCACCACCACCACACGCCTGTAGCATCTTTCTCCCACACCTGTAACACTCACCAATACCATACACCGGTAGCATCTTACTCCACATCTGAACAATCACCACCACACACCTGTAGCATCTTACTCCCACACCTGTAAAACTCACCAATACCACACACACGTAGCATCTTACTCACACACCTGTAACACTCACCACCATCAAACACCGGTAACATCTTAATCCTACACCTGTAAGAGTCACCACCACATACCTTTAGCATCTTACTCCCACACCTGTAACACTCACCACCACCACACACCTGTAGCATCTTACTCCCACACCTGTAACACTCACCACCACCACACACCTGTAACGTCTTACTCCCACACCTGTAACACTCACCACCACCACACACCTGTAGCATCTTAATCCCACACCTGTAACACTCACCACCATCAAACACCTGTAACATCTTAATCTCACACCTGTAAGAGTCACCACCACACACCTGTGCCATCTTACTCCCCCCCTATAACAGTCACAACCACACACCTGTAGCATCTTACTCCCACACCTGTAAAACTCAACACCACCACAAACCTGTAGCATCTTACTCCCACACCTGTAAAACTCACCACCACCACACGCCTGTAGCATCTTACTCACACACCTGAACACTCATCACCATGACACACCTGTAGCATCTTGCCCCCCACACTTGTAACACTCATCAACACCACCACACACCTGAAGCATCTCACTCCCACACTTGTAACACTCATCAACACCACCACACACCTGTACCATCTTACTCCCACACCTGTAATACTCACTACAACCACACACCTGTAGCATCTTACTCCCACACCTGTAACATTCACCACCACCACACACCTATACCATCTTACTCCCACACCTGTAATACTCACCTTCATCACCACACACCTGTAGCATCTTACTCCCACACCTGTAACACTCACCACCACCACACACCTGTGGCATCTTGCTCCCACACCTGTAACACTCACCACCACCACACACCTGTAGCATCTTACTCCCACACCTGTAGCACTCACCACCATCACACACCTGTAGCATCTTATTCCCACACCTGTAACAGTAACACTCATCAACGCCACCACACACCTGTAGCATCTTGCTCCGACACCTGTAACACCTGTGGCATCTTACTCCCACACCTGTAACACTCACCACCACCACACACCCACAACAGCACACATCCTCAGCACTGTAGAACCCACATGAACCCGCACCAGAGCAGCACCCGTATACAACAATAAACACATACCTTGTGCAACATACACCTGTAGAAACATACACGCTTACCTAACACATCTGTACCGTAAAACATACCCATATCCACACACAATGAGAGCAACACACGGCCAGAAGAACATCCACCCAAAATTGCACAGTTGTACAGACACACTTGTACATGTATTGCACCACACACTTATCACAATATAACGACAGGTGTACCTCACATCTAGGTAAACACTTACATCTACAGCGACACAGACATACAGCAACACACATTGTGGCAGCACAAACCTAGAGAAACAAAAATGTACACTAACACACACCTACGGAAAATATAATAATTGATATTAACAATACTAATTAATAATAATATTAGTAAATAATGATAAAAAATAATAATAATAATAATTAATAATTGATAATAATTAATAAAGATGATACTAATTAATTAATAAATATATATATAATTAATAATAATAATAAATAACTAAATAAATAATATTAATTTATCATAATAATTATAATTTATAATAACATTCATAAATGATAAAAATTAAAAATAATAATAAATAATAATAATAACAATAATTATAATAAATAAAAATAATTAATAATAATAATAATAATTAATAAAAGTAATAATAAACACAAAATAATAAACACAAACTATCCTCAGGCTACCAAATATTACATTACACTCAATGTATCAAATACCTGTGAAATTTTTCCTTTCCATGTTGTGTGTAGGTTAGGTTAGGTTAGTTAGATTAGGTTAGTTTAGGTTAGGTTAGGTTAGTTAGATTAGGTTAGTTTAGGTTGCATCATTTCAAGTCAAGTGAGATTACGTTGGATTCCTGACTACTGAGGTATTGTTCATATATATATATATATATATATATATATATATATATATATATATATATATATATATATATATATATATATATATATATATATATATATATATATATATAATAAGGGTCATATAATGCTTGATACAGCTTTTATTGTTTGTTTAATGTGACATCTAATTTATGTTTTATTTTACAGAGAGCAGGAAGCTGCCGAACAGAGACGGAGGTGAGTGAGGCTACACAGGTCTACTTTACCAGTAATGCTGCCATCATGACCAAATGTACAACAATTACCACCACCACACACCTGTAGCATCTTACTCCCACACCTGTAACACTCACCACCACCACACACCTGTAGCATCTTACTCCCACACCTGTAACACTCACCACCACCACACACCTGTAGCATCTTACTCCCACACCTGTAATAATCACTACAACCAAACACCTGTAGCATCTTACTCCCATACCTTTAACTCTAACCACCACCACACACCTGCAACATCTTATTCCCACTCCTGTAACACTCACCACCACCACCACCACACCTGTAGCATCTTAGTCCCACACCTGTAACTCTCACCATCATCACACACCTGTAGCATCTTAATCCCACACCTGTAACACTCACCACCATCACACACTTGTAGCATCTTACTACCACACCTGTAAGACTCACCAATACACAGTAACATACACCCACAGCAACACACCCCTACAGCAGCACTCACCTACAGTAACACATCTACAGTAATACACCCACATTAACGTGGCCTCCAGCCTCCCCCAATAGCCACACCTTCGCCGCTATTTTATTACCTTAATATTAAATATCCTAATACATAAGTAGCTATCCTAGCTGTGTTGAGTTAGCTGAACCGCAGATCTATGCGGCATTCAGTGACTGTTGCCTCATAGTCAATATCTGCAGCTGTTGTCGGCTTTGGGGCCGAAGCTCTCGTTCCCCTGAGGCAGAGCAAAGCCGACTGAAGGGGAGAGGACAGTCGCCATCTCATCCAAGCTGTAACATAACTTCTGGGCTGCTGCTTCTGTTCGGAGATTACCTCCGCGAGTCTGGCGTAGAAACATCTTGCACTTGGTCCCATCCCACCAGAGGTTGTGAACTCTAGAGGAGTGAAGCTGCCTTGATCAACGTTCTGAATTCTCTCCCAGTATGCCCTTATCTTGTCATTCTCGTTCCTCCTGTGTGCAGCATCGAGAGCTAAGTTACGATGACATGCGGCCATGGGATAAAAAATCCTGATGTCGAAGAAGGTTCGCTGTCCCAGCGTCCAGAATCCTCGAGCACTGACGTCACCACGGGCTTCGTTGAATGTGTTTGAAGTCCTATGTTGGAAGATCTCACCGTCCAATGGAAGGAGGGTCGGTTCTACCATGACATCATGGCAGATTTCCTTCAACATATTTGCTGTGACATCCCTTACTTCGGCATGCCTCATGCATATGAAGCCCCCTTTCTTGCGCACCATGGCGTGATAGACGTCATAGGAGGAGCCACACACGCATTAAGATGGCAAACCTTCCACTGGCCTACCGTACCTTTGGACATTGGCATCTGTAAGTTCTTGTTTATTGAGACTGAAACCATTTGCCCTTATCGGTAACGTTGTTCACCAGTTCGAGGCGCCCACCTCCTTCATTGATGAGCTCAAAGGTGACTTGGGAGGCCGATACGGGACCAACAAGTTCTTCCACAGATGTTGCATGTGTGGAGGGGTACATACTATATAGTGCGTATGGAGTGGCGGCAGCGTCTTTCCGGTGTTGGCACTTGTCTGCCTCTGTATGCAGTCAGGCTAACTCGCAAGTAATGACATATTCTCATGTGGTGCTCCTCCAAGCGTTACGGTGTTGAGTAATGGTCTCCCAGGTGAGGGGGTCGATTAGGCACTTCTTCATGTTTGTCTTTGGACTATCCTTATACCTTTTCAGTTGCCTACCAGCGTTACATTTACTATTCGTTAGGTGACTGTAAAGTAGCTGCTTTGGCAGTCTACTGTCATCCATGTGGGTAACATGGCCAGTCAATGTAGTTGTTCATGGATATTGGTAGCCTCGATGCTCCTACAGTTGGTATCAGCGACAATACTGGCATTATTTTGTTCTCTTGTCTTCCCAGCGAACTCGGAAGATGTAACGTAGACTACGTTGGTGAAAGTTTTCAAATGAATTTAGGTTCCTCCTGTATGTGACCCATGTCTCACTGCCATATAGCAGGGTAGGAAGGACCACTGCTCGATATATGTGCAACTTTGTAGATAATTTCAGCTCCCTACAGCTGAAGACACAGGTACAGAGTCTGCCAAAGGCTTGAGATGCAATCTGATCTGATGTTGAATCTCTTCATCGATGTCTGTGGTGGAGGACAGGTGGGAGCCAAGATATTGAAACGGGGGTAATATTAGAGAGGTTATTAAAGTTAAGCTGGATGGATGATGGAGGTGTGTCTGAACCAGGGGTAGGTTGAAAGAGAATCTGAGTCTTACGTACATTTACTGTAGGGCTGAAGTGGGCATACGCATTTGCATAGGTGTTTAGGATCTCCTGTAGGTCGCATTCAGTGTGAGCGACGAGGGTGAGGTCATCTGAGTACTGAAGTTCAATAATAGAAGCTGCCGACACAGTTGTTCCTGCCTGGAGTCATCTTATGTTGAAAAGACTCTTCATCCGGAACTGGATGTCCACACCGTGGACTAAATTGGCATTAGCACGAGTAAGAAAGGCAGCCAAGAGAATGGAAAAGAGTTGGTGTCAGAACACATCCTTGTTTTACCCCCGTTTGGATGAGGAAGAACTCAGACTGGATGCCATTGTACAAGACACTACCGTTCATGTCATCGTGGAGTTGCCTCACTATGACGATGAATTTTGGTGGGTAGCCAAAACGGCTGAGGGTCCGCCAGAGGGCTACCCTATTGACCAAGTCAAAGAAGGCCATGTCCAAGTCACGACGCTGTTCTCTGCACTTTTCCTGTATCTGGCGGGCAGCAAAGATTATGTCAGTGGTGTCAACAGCAACACACCCACAGCAACACACACCCACAGCAACACATACCCACAACAACACACCCACAGCAACACACACCCACAGCAACACACACGTACAGTAACACACAACCACAGCAACGCCCACCCATAGTAACACTCACAGCAACACACACTCACAGCAACATACACCCAGAGCAACACACACCTACAGTAACACACAACCACAGCAAAACCCACCCACAATAACACAACTCACAGCAACACACACCCACAGCAACACACACCTATAGCAACGCACACCTACAGTAACACACAACCACAGCAGCACCCACCCACAGTAACACACTCACAGCAACACACACACTCACAGCACCACACACCCAAAGCAACAACTACTACTACCACTACTTTGCTGTCACTCGGAATCGAGTATGACGATCATCCAGCTATGATACAATGATATGAGGTATTAGGGATGTCACCTAGGTTAATGAATTTTGAGGTGACTAAAGAGACTGATACTGGACCTACAGCATCGTTCACATTCGTTGCACATGTGGAGGGCTCCATCTACTACGGGAGGGGCGTCTTTCCGGCGTTGGCGCTTGTTTGCCTCGGTTTGCAATCGGGCTAACTCGAAAGTATTGACACCTTCTTGTGTGGTGCTCCTCCAAGTGTTACGATGTGGTGTACTCAACTCCTGCAGTCCCAGTACCCTGCAGAATTCCTTAATTCTTTGGAGCCCGCTGGAATGCCTCCTCACCACCTAACTCTCAAGATTGGAACTCCTATAATGCTCTTAAGAAATCTTGAACCACCAATCCTTTGCAATGGCACAAGACTGGTGGTGAAGAACATGATGCCACATGTACTGGAAGCTACAATACTGACAGGAAAAGCTAAAGGAGAGGACGTGTTTATACCAAGGATACCTCTTATCACCACTGACCTGCCATGACGCAAAACATGAACACACACACACACACACACACACACACACACACACACACACACACACACACACACACACACACACACATATATATATATTTATATATATTCTAAATATTCAGTTATTATTAAGTAAGTTCTGTATGTATTATCGAAGAGATGATAAAAATGCTTGATATTATTTTCATTGTCTGCCTAATGTGACAAAATTTATGTTTTATATTTCAGAGACAGAGACGAAGTAGTGCAAATTGTAAGGTGAGATTGAGATTACACACGTCTGCCATAGTGACGTAATGAACAAACACCACCACACACTTCAGGACGCAATCATTCTGGCAAATTCTAAAATAGATATGCTGGGCCTCAACATTTCCTCTAATATAATAATTATGTCATGGAAGCCACACATCCTCAACATTGCTAAAGCTGCCTCGCGAAAGCTGGGAATGCAGTACAGGTGCCGTAGCTACTTCACTCCTGAGCAGTTGCTTCAAGTTTATAAGGGATTCATTCGACCTAACTTGGAGTACTGCTCTCATATCTGGGGTGGCTCTTCTTCTGTCCAACTGCTAGATAGGGTGGAATCAAAGGGATTTCGTCTTATTAACTCTCCTCCTCATGTTACGTATGAGATAATTAATTCAATCGTATGTTCCATCACTATTAACGACTACATATAATATATTTGGGTAGAGTGGCGGTGTTAAACCATATAAAACTTACGTGTTTCGGGTCTAATGTAGGACTTACTAACTCCCGTCCGAGAGATGATGAGGCCGAGCAACCTGCCTTGTTTGGAGTACTCACGCCCGTATTATTAAACAACATCTTCCCTTGAAGAGGGTCGTCGTGTTTCAACCCGAGTTTTAAACTAAACGAGTCCTGAGGCACACCGCAGTACAGTACTTAACGGGGTGGTGTGGCGGTAAAATTAACTAATTTCAATAAAATTAATTTATAATATTGGAATTAGTTAATCTTACCGCCACACCACCCCGTTAAGTACAGTACTGCGGTGTCCCTCAGGACTCGTTTAGTTTAAAACTCGGGTTGAAACACGACGACCCTCTTCAAGAGAGTGAGCATTTACGGCACTAAATCCGATTTGAGTAACGTTACTAGTGGAGTACCCAAAACTCAGTAATTGGACCATTAATATTTATTATATACATAAACGACATAGATATCGGCGTAGGCAGCAACATAAGTAAATTTGCTGATGACACTAAATAGGGCGTGTAATTAAATCTGACGAAGACTCCGCAAAATACAGGAAGATCCTAAAAAAATAATTCGAACGGTCTGAAAAATGGCAGATGAAATTCAATGTGGACAAATGTAAAGCCTAGAAGATGTAAACAGAGAAACCCGATACCAGATGAACAACGATGTTAAAGAGAAGTCCGACTGTGAGAAAGATTTAGGAGTAATAATAAGAAGGAATCTTAAACCATGTCAACAATAGGTATTTGCTCGAAACAAGGCTAACAAAGTACTTGGGTTCATACAAAGGAGTGTAAGTTTCAAGATTAGAGAGGTCATTCTAAAACTATATCTTGCGCTTGTGAGACCTCACTTGAATTACGCAATTCAATTCTGATCACCGTATTACAGAATAGATAGAGAATCCCTAGAAAGAATTCAGAGGAGAATGAAAAGACTAATCCCGGGCATTAGGAACCTTGAGTACAGAGAAAGGTTAAAGCATCTTAATATGCTCTCCCTCGAGAGACAGAGTGAGGGGCGATATGATAGAGGTTCATAAATGGAAGTCAGGGCTAAACAAAGGGGACATAACAAAGGTACTCAAACTATCTAACCAGGAGCGAACTCGTAACAATGGTTTTAAATTAGACAAATTTAGATTTAGGCGCGAAATAGGTAAACATTGGTTTGGAAATAGAGTAGTGGATGAATGGAGCAAGTTACCAAACATCATAATTAAGTCAAATACGCTGGATAGCTTCAAACATAGGTTGGGTGGATATATGAGCAATAGGAGTTGGGTGTAAACGGGACTGCCCAGTATGGGACAATAGGCCCGCTGCAGTTTCCTCCATTCTTATGTTCTTATGTAATAATACGGGCGTCAATCTCTTCGTCGTCGATCATCAATGGGGCCGGCTTGAATTTGGCTATGGGTATGACTACAACCACGCACATCTACAACCACGCACATCTCCAAACACGCACATCAACAACCACGCACATCTACAACCACGCACATCTCCAAACACGCACATCAACAACCACGCACATCTCCAAACACGCACATCAACAACCACGCACATCTCCAAACACGCACATCAACAACCACGCACATCTCCAAACACGCACACTCAACTCTCACGCTCATCTACAACCACATCTCCAAACACGCACATCAACAACCACGCACATCTCCAAACACGCACACTCAACTATCACGCACATCTACAACCACGCACACATCTCAAACACACACATCAACAACCACGCACATCAACAAACACATCTCCAAACACGCACACTCAACTATCACGCACATCTACAACCACGCCCATCTCAACCACGCACATCTCCAACCACGCACATTATCAACCACGCACATCAACAACCACGCCCATCTCCAACCACGCACATCATCAACCACGCCCATCTCCAACCACGCACACATTATCAACCACGCACATCAACAACCACGCACATCTCCAAACACGCACATCAACAACCACGCACATCTACAACCACGCACATCTCCAAACACGCACATCAACAACCACGCACATCTACATCTCGCAACCACGCACATCTCCAAACACGCACATCAACAACCACGCACATCTCCAAACACGCACACTCAACTATCACGCTCATCTACAACCACGCACATCTCCAAACACGCACATCAACAACCACGCACATCTCCAAACACGCACACTCAACTATCACGCACATCTACAACCACGCACATCTCCAAACACACACATCAACAACCACGCACATCAACAACCACGCACATCTCCAAACACGCACACTCAACTATCACGCACATCTACAACCACGCCCATCTCCAACCACGCACATCTCCAACCACGCACATTATCAACCACGCACATCAACAACCACACCCATCTCCAACCACGCACATCATCAACCACGCCCATCTCCAACCACCACGCACATTATCACCACGCACATCACGCACATTATCAACCACGCACATCTCCAACCACGCACATTATCAACCACGCACATCAACAACCACGCACATCAACAACCACGCCCATCTCCAACCACGCACATCAACAACCACACACACACCTGCGGCAACACAATTATTACAAAAAACATTAAAACACACTCACAACTACGTTTACTTAAAGCAACACATCCACAGCAACACACACACACACACACACACTCACCGAGAGCATCATTCGCACTACGCCACTGGGAGTACTCTATGTTCCAAGGAGAGTCTGGAAATAGAATGTAAGAGAAACAGTTTACGGGGAGTTGACAGTAGGCGGGAAGTATAGCGAGGTGCTGGGCCAGATAAAGGTTAGCCTGACAAGATGTGTGGCTGGACGAAGCGCCAAGCCGGGACTCGTGGTGGTACGATTAAGAAGATTGGGTGAAAAAGAGAAGGGGAAGATTGTATAAGGCCTGGAAGATGGGTGGCGACAAGGAGTAACCAAGCGCAGGGTCACAAGATAGGTGTACAAGGCTAAGAAACGTGAATAGACAGTGAACCAAGCATTACTACACACACATATACCATCATCATCAACATGGTCCCCGAGCTTGCCTGATCCAAATTTTGAAATATGAACAATTAAATTAATGTTATATACAGAATATTGAATTAATATGCTTTAACACTGTCTGTTTAATAAGATCAATTTATGTTTTATATTGCAGTTTACTCGGTTCACTCCTTCAGGACCCAGACGTAGTCAATCGGGTGAGTGAGGTTTACGTCATCTATATTGTACTGAATACCACAATACTCACCACCACACACACACACCTGTAGCATCTTATTTCCACACCTGTAACACTCACCACCACACGCACACCTGTGGCATCATATTTCCATACATGTAACACCCACCACCGCACACACTCATGTAGCGTCTCATTTCCACACCTGTAACGCTCTCCACCACCACACACCTGTAGACACAGGCACATAGCACTACAAAACTACAACAACAATATCCTACTCCAAAACACACGCGGGGTATCAAATTCACACATAAAAACACGCACCTATAGTAACACACACACACACACACACACACACACGTTACATCATACAACCCGAAGTAACTCACACCCATAGCAACAAAGATCTACCACGCCACACAGATACAGCAACACACACACATACATGCCTTGTGCAGCTCAAGACCTACAGGAACACGTAGTACCCACATCTACAGCAACACACATTCCAGGGAACATTCACTGCAACACTACAACTACTACAACTACAGTATTACATTGCTGTCACTTGGAATCGAATATGACGATCATCCAGCTATGATACAAAGAGAGTTTTGAGGTGACTAAAGTGGCTGATACGGAGTCGTTCACATATGTTGCACATGTGAAGGGCTACATCTAGTGAAGGAGGGTAGGCGGCAGCGTTTTTCTAGCGTTGGTGCTTCTCTGCCTTGGTTTGCAGTCGGCCTAACTTGAAATTATCGACACCTTCTCGTGTGGTGCTCCTCCAAGTGTTTCGGTGTGGAGTAATCGTCTCCCAGGTGAGAGGGTCGATTTGGCACTTTTTCAGGTTTGTCTTAAGACTATCCTTATACCTTTTCAGTTTCCCGCGAGTTACATTTACTATTCCTTAGGTTACTGTAAAGTAGCTGCTTTGGCAGTCTACTGTCGTCCATGCGGGTAACATGGTCATTCCAACGTAGTTTCATGGATAATGGTAGCCTCCTTGCTCCTACAGTTGGTGTCAGCGAACTCGGAGTATGGAATGTAGACTACGTTGGTGAAAGTTTTCAAGTGCCTTGGGGTGCTTCCTGTATGTGATCCATGTCTCGCTGCCATATATCAGAGTGGGGAGGACGACTGCTCGAAATACGTGCAACTTTGTTGATAATTTCAGCTCCCTACAGCTGAAGACATGGGTACGGAGTCTGCCAAAGGCTCTACTGTACGGTAGATGCACGTCTGATCCGATGTTGAATCTCTTCATCGACCGCGGTGGTCGACAGGTGGGAGCCTAGATACTGAAAGTGGGTAACAAAAGAGAGGGTAGTACCGTTAAGCTGGATAGATGGTGGAGGTGTGGCTGAACCAGGGGCAGACTGAAAGACAATCTGAGTCTTACGTACAGATTCGTTCAAGATTCTTCAAATACTGCTGGAGACAGCTGGCAACTCAGGGCCGTTTGTTTACTATGCGTAGTACTAAAAATTATGAATGAAGGTAAAAGGTTATCGGTGATTGGTTACTTAGTTTTTCAATGCTTAATTAATGGTTGGGCTTTGTTGTTTCGTATTATATTATACTACGTACTATAGTAAACAAACGGCCTTGAGTTGCCAGCTGTCTCCAGCAGTATTTGAAGAATCTTGAACGAGACTGTACATTCACCTCAAGGCCAAAGTGTTCATAAGCATCTGCGTAGGTGTTCAGGATCTGTAGGTCACGTTCAGTGTGAGAGACAAGGGTGAGGTCGTCCGCAAACTGAAGTTCAGTAATGAAAGCTGCTGACACCTTTGTTCTTGCCTGGAGTCGTCTTGTGTAGAAAAGACCTCCCTTCACCCGGTACTCGATGTTCACCCCGCTGGCTAAATTGGCACTGGCACGAGTAAGGAAGGCAGCCAAGAAAATGTAAAAGAGAGTTGGTGCCAGTACACACCCTTGTTTATGGAGAACTCAGACTGGGTGTGATTATGTAGGGCATTGACGTTCATGTCATCGTGGAGTTGCCTCACAATGGCAATGAATTTTGTTGGACAACCAAAACCGCTGAGGGTCCACCGTAGGGCTTCCCTGTTGACCGAGTTGAAGGCCTTGGTTAGGTCGATGAAGGCCATGTACAGGTCACGATGTTGCTCTGTGCACTTTGTCTGTATCTGGCGGGTAACAAAGATCATGTCAGTGGTGCCACGTGATGGTCTAAAGCCACATTGAGATTCTGGGAGGAAGCTTCCCGCCTCAGGAAGAAGTCTGTTCAGGAGAACTTGCGATAATCTTGCCAGCTATGGACAGCAGCGAGATCCCACGGTAGTTGCCACAGTCTGACTGGTCTCCCCTGTTCTTATAAATATTGACGATGGAGACGTCTTTAAGAGCTTGGTGGATTTCCTCCTTTTCCCATATATTCTCCAGGAGAGAGTGGAGACGGCTGGTAAGCAGAGGTCCTCCTGCTTCATACACTTCGTGTGGTATTCCATCAAGCCCTGAGGCTTTGTTATTTTTCATCTGTTTGATGGCAGTATCTACCTCATCCAGGGATGGAGGATAGCTGAGGTGGGTCAGCTCTGGGTGCTGAGGGTCCTGTGGGTAGTCAGGACATCCACAACGGTGTTTTGATTGAGCAACGAATGGTAGTGCTCTTTCCAGTGCTGAAGGATGCCTTCTTCATCTTTAATTAGGGAGTTACCATCAGCATGAGCGGAAGGGAGCTGCGCCATGAATGATTGGCCCATAAAATGTTTTTATGGAATTGAAAAATTCGTGCCTCTTGTGTTGATCTGAAGTTTTCGCGTTTCACATGCTTTATTTTTAAACCAGTTGTTCTTTAGATTATGAAGTTCCCAGAATGAAGGTTGTTCTGCCAGTCGGTTAAAGCAGCACGTTTATCATTGACGAGTACATTGATTTGTGGTCATTTTCATGATATCAGTCCTGGTGTATTCTTCAGATCTGGTCGAGGGTCTCTCTGCAGGTTTTTCTCATGACAGTGTCGAGAATACCCCATTCAGCACTGGGATTTGGGTTGTTTGTTGTCGGATTGTTTATCAGCCCCTATTCGAGCTGCTCGCTGAAGACTTGTGCTGCCGCTGGATCCTCCACATGCTTAGTGTTAAAATTTCTTCTGGAGGCTTGTTGCCTTCGCCATTTTGGGGCGACGTGAGGTGAGAGCTTGGCTCTGACGAGCCGATGATCAGTGCGGCATTGGTCTGAGCCAACCCTTGAATTTGTTGCCTTGCCTAAACAAAGTATTAGTAATAATGAGATTGTGTGCACCACACTTGCTGAGAAGTACACTGTTGGGGTTACACTTGCCTAGTCCATTTCTCCCTATGGTTCCCTGCCAAATGTCAGCATCTCTGCCAACTCTGGCATTGAAGTCACCACGGAGCACAACCTTATCTTCTCTGGGGATAGAGGCTAGTACTTTGTCAAGGTCGGCATAAAAGGCCGCCTTGATGTCATCCTCTGCATCCAGTTTGGGGCGTATGCACTGATGAAGAAGGCATGACGTGAGTGATACAGTGGGACTCGGATCATCATGAGGCGCTCATTGATCCCAACAGGCATTTCAATTAGCTTATGTAGGGTGCATTGACGGTTTCTCTCAGCAGCAGGCTTACCCTTCCAGAAGAAGGTATAGCCGGACTCCTGTTCTGAGAAACGACCCTCATCTGGGAGTCGGGACTCACTAACGACTGCCCTGTCGATGTTATACCTAGCCAGCTCTTTTGCCATAAGGGCAGTTCTTTCAGGACGCTCATTTGTGCCAGTATCTAGAAGGGTCCTGCCATTCCATGCAGCGACCATAAAAGGTTGTATAATTTGTTTTTTGTTTAATCTGTAATTAAGATTGTTTTCGACTGCATAAGGATGACGTTGCTGGGTATGGTTGCCAGGCCAGGTTGGTCCTTTAGGCAGGCTATGTTTGGGGCACCTTTTCTAGCCCCCCCTCCCCATGTGGGGTGAGCAGAGTGGGTCCTCGTGGGGGGCTGCTCAGTTGCATAGACAGGACAGGATTGCACTGCTGCCTAGATCCCAATGCATTAACGACCATCTTATCTGTGCCGCCCATGTGCAGAGTTGTGACTCGGGACTCCCGGCAGTCATCTCTGCCTGGCCCCATCGCCATAAGACTTTTGAGGATATAGGTATTTTGATGATGAGCTGGATGATGGTTGCACATGAGTTGACTTATGTGGTGAGGCAGCAGCGCAGGCTGCAACCACACATAAGAACATAAGAAAATAAGGAGTCTGCAATAGGCCGGTTGGCCTGTGCATGGCAGCTCCTGTCGAGAGTTACTACCACTCCCTATCATCTTGGCTCTCACTTTTCCTGATCCAGTGGTGCAAGTGTTCCAACAAATGGGGAGAGGGAGAGGTGCAATAGACTGCCGATAGCCCCGTTTCTTGGGTTTTGCCTTAGTAGCCTGTCCATCATGCATTGCCTTCCTCTGCCGGTGTAGTTGTTGGGTTCCCATGGTGGTCACCTCTTCCACCTATACCGCCGTTGGGGTCTTGTTGGAGCTCTGTGAGCATGTCTGCCTGATGCGGGGCTCCACCTCAGATTTATCATTTGGGGGAATACTCTTGTAACCTTATACCTACCAAGGCTAATCCGCAAGGCAGCGGGGCAGTGGTTGGTGGGTGTCAGGACGTGTCCACATGCCAGTGGGCCTAAGCGCCATCCCTCTGCAGCTCCGAGATCCCCTGATGGTCAAGACTGGGCCCACGAGGCACCCAGTTACGTGTGTTGCCATGAGGAGGCACAGCAGAAGTCTATGGTGAAGAGGATGTGTACTGGCAGGCGAATACTTGTGTAAGTTGCTTCCCTGTTCACCACGGGGGCTAGCCAGTGGCGGTAGCTGAAAGCGAGAGGGAGCAAGCAGTGCTTGCACCTTAACACTAACATAGTGCTGCCACACTAGATGCATTACACCACCCTGCACACACACACACACACACACACACACATATATATATATATATATATATATATATATATATATATATATATATATATATATATATATATATATATATATATATATATATATATATATATATATACTTCATTTTTAGTCCATATAACACGTTGACTTTGAACATATAATCAACGACCTCACCAGCAAGGGTTCGATTCCTTGCTGGTGAGGTTGTTGATTATATGTTCAAAGTCCGCGTGTTATATGGACTAAAAATGAAGTAGGCTATATATATGTACTTCGCGTTTCATACCAGCTGGATTCGGTAAAATGCTACTGACACCACATAAGAGGCACGGGCAGTTTCCCAATGAGGTTCACGGCGCCATCAGCTCGATGAACAGGCTTTGTGTGAAATATAACAGAGTCTAGAACTGCTTTTAGTGTCCTTGTGGCCTAGCCGGTAAGCGTTCCCTAGTCACACCCAGTAGGTCGAGGGTTCGATTCCTTGCTGGTGAGGTCGTTGATTATATGTTCAAAGTCCGCGTGTTATATGGACTAAAAATGAAGTATATATATATATATATATATATATATATATATATATATATATATATATATATATATATATATATATATATATATATATATATATATATATATATATATATATATATATATATATATATATATGCAAATAAATCACTGTAGGTGCGCATGCTACTCGTTTATGCTGATAACCACACATAGTATATAATTATGAAGAATATATGAACACATATTAGTAGGTTTCTTATAAATAGTAAACATAAAGGTGTTACCTGCTCTGTGGATCAGATAATGCCAGACACTTTTTATTGTCAGTGTGATGTCATCGAATTTATATTTTATTTTACAGGAATATGACTTAATTGAGAACCAGTGCAGCATCAGTTGAGGAGAAAGCTACACAGATCTACTTTATCTGTACGTATATGCTGCCATCATGTACAGCACCACACACCTGTAGCATCTTACTCCTACACCTGTAACACTCACCACCACCACCACACACCTGTAGCATCTTACTCCTACACCTGTAACACTCACCACCACCACACACCTGTAGCACCTACCCCACACCTGTAACACTCACTTCCACATCCATAGCACACACACACACACACACACACACACACACACACACACACACACACACACACACACACACACACACACACACACACACACACACACACACACACACACACACACACACACACACATCCTCTCCAGCTGGTGCAGTCTGCCAAACTCCTGGGTGTAACTATAGACAACAAACTTGACTGGAAGGCCCATGTAAATAACACAGTCAAGGCAGCCTCGTACCGTCTCTACATGCTACGAAGACTTAGGTCACTTGGGACACCCACGCCAGAGCTGAGGACCATCTACAACGCCTTTATTCTCCCCAAACTAACGTATGCGTCACCAGCCTGGTCGTCTTCTCTCAACTCCACCCAACAACGTCAGCTAGAGAAGGTACAGAAAAGGGCCTGCAGAATCATGCTCGGCGCAGAATACTCCGGCTACACCAACGCTCTCTCCACCCTGGAAATGCCATCCCTCAGTGACCTCCACCACCAAGCACTGGAAAGGTTTGGCCGTGGACTACTGCACCACCCTCGCCATCGCCGCCACCTGCTACAGGCAGCCCCCCACCCAACTCGCGCAGTCCGCCACTACAACAAAATTCAGCCCATCAGAGCCCGCACCGATAGATATAAGAACAGCACCATCCCATCTATTGTGAAAATAATAAACAACTCCTGATTTATGTACTGTACAGCCCTGTAAATGTATTCAATGCATATTATATCATTATGTCTAAATCAAATGTAAGTCTGTATATTTTCAGCCACCGGCTGCAACTCTATTAATAAACCGTTTATTATTATTATTACACAGGTAAATTTAGTGATCATGTTTATACGTAATAAAGATACTGATCGTGTTTGTTATTGTCTTTATTATCTGTTTAATACAACATGTTATTTATGTTTTATGTTACAGTGATGATGACGACGAGCAGCAGGTGACGAGAGTGAGGCTACACTTTACCTGTTGGTCAGGGGCGGCACGCCTCTGTACCCCCCTCCCCCCTCCCCCACCCCTTCTCCTCCCCCTCCTCCACCCCTTCTCCTGCCTCCCCTCCCCCCTTTGTTTTGGTTGTCTCTACACAATCTTTTTGAATACAATAGAAAATACTTATGTTTCTATCCATATTCTGATTTGTTTCTTGTTTTTTGTTTAAGAAATTTGTGAGTTTGGATTAATCTTTTGCCACATTAGTTTTTCAAGATAAAATAATATAACCTTATGAAATACTTTGTCTTTCATTGGGTTTATTTTCAACACACTGCACAGCCGTAACTATGAGTGAGCCCATTCATTAAATTCATGAACAATTTCCTCTGTAATGTTTAATTAAAATGATATGTAAAAAAATGGTACGTATCCTGAGTTACTCTTTCATAATAATATTCTTCACTCTAATGATAAAAACTACTGCATCTTTATGATTATATTTCTTTATTTACTCATTTTTATATCGCTGCGCCATGTGAGTCGATGACGATGAGTTAGAGGACCGAGATCTTCAGCCCCTAAACCAACAACAGTCACAGATATTGACTGAGGCAACAGTAACTGAATGCAGCTTAGATCTGTGGCTTAACTAACTCAACACGGCTAGGGTAGCTACTTTTGTGTGGGGATATTTAATATTAGGGTGATAAAAGGGGAGCAAAGGTGTGACTATTGGGGAAGGCTGGAGGCCACATTAAAAAAAAAGTAGTAGTAGTAGAAATAATAATAGTAATAGTAGTAGTAGTAGTAGTAGCAACAGTAATAGTAATAGTAGTAGTAGTAGTAGTAGTAGGATTGTTTTTGTTTCCCCAAACATACAAGACAGACAGTACAAATATTAAGATATAAACATCTTTTAAGAGCCATATGTTAATGCTCCTAGTTGCTGTATATAGCAGGTAGACAATTTCAAGTAATGTATATAGATTAAATTGATCTGCTTGTGTTGTAAAGATGTTCTCGTGTGTCTTAAAAATGGTGTTAGTATTATTAACTTGAGGACATTAAGGTATTGAAGTTTGAGACAAATAATGATGTAAATATTTGTATACTGTTATATACTATTATATTCTGACCACTGTTATATATGTTATATTTTAATATATTATGTAATTTTGAGCTTCAGTCTTCAAAAGGTTCTGTATATAAGAAATCAATCTGTTAACTCATAACAATTTATTCACTTACATTAATGAATTATAATATTCACTATGTATAATATTAAAAGGATGTGTTTGTCTGTCTGCTCCACCCGGGGTTATTATTTTTTCTAAATAAACAAAATTATTTATTCGATTTTAATGTTGTTGTTTTTTACTCAAAAGTGTAAAAATTTCAGTAAGATTTCCTCTTGTTTGCTGAGAACTGTTCCCAGTAATAAAATTAAAAAGTAATTAATGGATAAATATCATAATGAAATAAATAATTACTGAATCATCGAGAATGAGTATTGTATCACCCATTTCAAACTTATTATTGCTCGTCCATCATCCAAGGAACTGTGCAGTACAGTACAGTAGTCTCAGTTCAACAGTCACGCGGGAAATATGTCGTTGAGCACAAGACTGACTCCTTTTGGTCGACAATCCAGTAGTTGGATAAAAATTCTCAAAATCTAGTAAAGGATGTAAAGCCAACTAGAGATACAAGTCTTATAGTAAAAAAACACACAGAGGTAATGCCTGCTTCAGGTGTAGGTCTCAGAAGAGGAAATGGAAGGTTTTGAAGGACAACTATGGTCCCCACCCCCCTATATCTGTTCTTTGAGCCCCCCGCTAGGCTCTGGGGTGGGCTCCTAATTACATGGTAAGAGCAATTGGTATTGGTTCTATCCCATATGTTTACGTGGATATATGCGTCAGTCTCAACATATGTGTGTGTGTGTGTGTGTGTGTGTGTGTGTGTGTGTGTGTGTGTGTGTGAGAGAGAGAGAGAGAGAGAGAAAGTTAGTGACGCTTCCCGACCGAGCAATCACTAGAAGTAATCACGTGTAAAAGTCCAATACTGAATTTCGCTGTATCACCACCCTCTCCTTTTCCCAACCACCCCTCAGATCATCTACCATCTCTCCGGTTATCTCTCCTCCTCCCTACCACCCTCCGATCATCTCTCCTCCCTCCCTACCACCCTCCGATCATCTCCTCACTACCACCCTCCGATCATCTCTCCCCTTTCTACCACCCTCAGATCATCTCTCCCCTCTCTACCACCCTCCGATCATCTCTCCCCTCTCTACCACCCCTCAGATCACCCCCCACCCCTTACATTAGGTTCCACAGAAATCATAGTGGTCGCCTGGCACCCCTAGCCTATATCTGCACTCTTAATGGCGTTTAATTTAACACATTAGTACCATCACTTTCCTGTTGAGGATGATGAGATTAAGCAACGAAACGAGAAGGCCAGAATAGAAACAAACAAATAAATACAACGAAAACTTTGTCCCTACATCACCATCATCTCTTCGAAAGTAAACAAAGATTTTTTTTTTTACTTTATATGAGTACTGTTGGTAGACATAGAGGATCAATATATATATATACTTTTGTGTGGGTCTTATTGAGAAAATTATAAGTAACAGTACGTGTGATATTTGGATTCCTTCACTGAATTCAACGAGAAATAGTAACCCATCCCCTGTTAAAACACTCATAGTTTAAGTTTGCTTGAAGTATTAAGGGAAATAGTCTATCAATTTGTGTGCACTTAGATAAAAAATAATTCTAATAGCCTATCCACTAGCCAAACAGTGAGAATGAAGTGATATTTCTAATTGAACCTCCCTATTCACACATTATCTTTTAAGGCTTTATAAATGCTTTTTACTGTTTAATACTTTGCTATTATGCTTGGGAACTCTCTTTCTCCCTTTCTTTCTCCCCTCCTCCCTCTCCCCCTTCCCACTTCATCATACCATATACCAAAATTATGAATATTAGGTGACACCATTTCCTCTAATATAATATGTCATGGAAGCCACACATCCTCAACATTGCTAAAGCTGCCTCTCAAAAGCTGGGAATGCTGTACAGATGCCGTAGCTACTTCATTACTGAGCAGTTGCTTCAGGTGGTAGAACGGTACCGCTCTTGCCTCTCAAGCGAGATGTCACGGGTACCTGTTGTAATTCGAAAGTTGCGAATTCGTATTCAGGGAAAGTTGTTGGAGCTTCCAATAACTTGATGACATAAACCATTGACTCTTCAGGCTTCTACGCCCTTAACTCATGAGACATAAAGGCAAGCATGAACTTAGCATGCTTCCCTGTTGGGCGCTGTAAACGCTTCTGCGTTTCACCTTACGCAAGGATGTAGGGGAGTGCCCAATAAATAAATAAAAAAAAAATCATACCGGGACACAGGGAACAATATGAAAGAGGAATGACTCTAAGGTGTAATATAAGAGGAATGAATTATCAACACAGGTCTAGGGATAGGGCTTTGACCAACACCGAAAAATAATCAGATTAGTTACTCCCTGACCAAGTCCAGATGATTTCTTGTACCTTGGCCTTTTCCATTGATGTGAGTTCATATTTTACTTTACTAGTGATCGTGAATACAGATTTAAAAAAAAACAATATAATAAGTTACATCAGACCCTTAGCCTAACTAAGGAAAGCGAGAGAGACACCACTACAGTACAATGTATACACAGATGACTAACAGATGTTACACGGAATACAGCACCTCGCTGTGATACGTATTTGACCATGGTGATACAGTCCAGACGGGATTAAGGAGAGGCAGTGGTCAAACAACAGCTCAAAACCCCGTCCTCACACAGACACTACTACTACTACTATTACATTTCTGTCACTCGGAATCGAGTATGACGATCAACTAGCGATGATACAATGATATGAGTTATTACGGATGTCACCTAGGTTGGTGAGTTTTGGGGTGACTAAAGAAGCCGATACGGGACCGACAGAGTCGTTCACAGATGTTACATATGTGGAGGGCTACATCGAGTGCGGGAAGGGCGGCAGCAGCGTCTTCCCGGCGCTGGAACTTGTCTGCCTCGGTTTGCAGTCGGGCTAACTCGAAAGTATTGACACCTTCTCGTGTGGTGCTCCTCCAAGCGTCACGGTGTGCAGTAATCGTCTCCCAGGTGAGGGAGTCGATTTGGCACTTTTTCAGGTTTGTCTTAAGACTATCCTTATACCTTTTCAGTTGCCCGCCAGCGTTACGTTTACTATTCGTTAGGTGACTGTAAAGTAGCTGCTTTGGCAGTCTACTGTCGTCCATGCGGGTAACATGGCCAGTCTAACGTAGTTGTTCATGGATAATGGTAGCCTCAATGCTCTCTCTCACACACACACACACACACACACACACACACACACACACACACACACACACACACACGCACACACACACACACACACACACACACACACACACACACACACACACACACACCCAGGGTAAACCACAGCTGAGGGACAGCAGAATAAGGTTAGGGAATCGACCAGCCATGTGAGTCATAGGCCAAACTGGTCTTAAGGAAGAGTAGTTGGAGGTGACAGCAGTGTCCCTGTGGTGAGGTGTCAGTAATGGAGCTCTCACCAGGAATGTTTTCTCCGGGGCTTTGTTGGATCAAGTGAGCCGTCCAGGTGGGTGGGAAAGGCGAGTGTTGCTTGGTCAGCAGTACTTGTTACAGCCGTAATAATCTAACAGGAATGAATCAGTATTTAGATGTAATAAGTGTGGAGCCGTAACAGTTTTGAGTCATGTGACGCCTTGTTCACTTAAAATGGAGGTTATAGTAAAACAAAAAAGGCATAACTATACTGTAGATAAAATACACAGATACAACCATACTTAAAAGATTATTGAAATAAGTTATATACGATGGCGGAAGACAATCAACTTAAGAACTCGACATCCCAGAGATGAAACTTGTGCTCCAAGAACCATGGTGCTGTATCCTCCCCGCCCGGAGCCCTGGAGAGAACCGCCACTAAGGTCCCCCAGGCCAGAAGGAATGAACACGACGTACAATATATGAGGAATGAATCAACATTGAAATGCCTTAAAATTGTCATGGAAGAGGAATTTAAATGGGTTGTACTGGCTTGTAACTGTTGATTTAACGGGGGTCAATAGAAAGGTGGGGCAGGCATGGCTGGGCGCACGAGGAAGGTGGGTCAGGCATGGCTGGGCGCGCGAAGAAGGTGGGTCTGATTATTACCGCGGAACGGAGTCATGTGTGTGTGTGTAACAGAAAATGAGTTGGTGCATTTATTCAAACCCCCACATGAAAAATAATAAAGGAATCACCTGCAGATTAGCCACCCCAGCCTATACACACCCTAACGCTACCTGGGGCGGGAGTTAGGCTAGCGATAGGGCGGTTAATCGTATAGCTTAGGTTAATTTATGTTATTAGGTTAGTTTAGCCAATCTTAAGATGTAATAAGTTAAGATGTAATGGGCTAACTAATCTTAAGATGTAATAAGTTGGAGGCTAATCTTAAGATGTAATAAGTTGGGGCTAATCTTAAGATGTATTGCTGGGGCTAATCTTAAGATGTAATAAGCTGGAGGCTAATCTTAAGATGTAATAAACTGGGGCTAATCCTAAGATGTAATAAGCTGGGGCTAATCTTAAGATGTAATAAGCTGGGGGCTAATTTAAGATGTAATAAACTGGGGGCTAATCTTAAGATGTAATAAGCTGGAGGCTAATCTTAAGATGTAATAAACTGGGGGCTAATCCTAAGATGTAATAAGCTGGGGCTAATCCTAAGATGTAATAAGCTGGGGCTAATCCTAAGATGTAATAAGCTGGGGGCTAATCCTAAGATGTAATAAGCTGGGGGCTAATATTCATGGGACGCAAATAAAGAAACCTCTGTCTCTTAGACTACTGTCCTACCCAGCAGCTGGCACCATGTACAGTAGGTGCTTGTGTGTACAGTACTTTGGTTAAATGGATAAATTCAAGTCAAATGGTTGCCATAGTTCACCTACTACTACACGAGTGTCCAATGGCGGTGGGTAGCGAGCGATCATGTATGCTCATCCCCTTCCTATGTGTCAACGTCGGATTACCTGAGGATTAGACACCCGAGCTTATTTGACCTTTTAAGATTAAACACACCCAAACGCTAACTTAACCTAACCAAACCTAACCTAACCTAACCTAACCAAACCTAACCTAACCTAACCAAACGCTAACCTAACCTAACCTAACCTAACGCTAACCTAACCAAACCAAACCTAACCTGACCTAACCAAACGCTAACCTGACCTAACCAAACGCTAACCTAACCTAAACTAACCTGACCTAACCTGACAGAAGAAAAAAATCTTTAGTACTGTATTATGTGGCAGAATACTTTTTAATATAGAATAAAATACAGAGAGAGAGAGAGAGAGAGAGAGAGAGAGAGAGAGAGAGAGAGCGGCATTCTGTGTTTGTCGTTTTCGTT